AGTGGAGGGAAAACAGGTGCCGGTACTCCCCTTGGTATTCAGTACCAGGTGCTGTTACTCCCCATGTTATCCAGTACCAGGTGCCGGTACTCCCCTTGGTATTCAGTACCAGGTGCTGTTACTCCCCATGTTATCCAGTACCAGGTGCCTGTACTCCCTTGTTATTCAGTACCAGGTGCTGGTACTCCCCTTTTTATTCAAACAAAGAGGTACTGGTACTGTGTATCAGTGAGTACCAGGACTGTTTCTAGCTATTGAAATGATTAGGGGCTAAGTCAAGTTTACCTGGGACTTATCTTTTTTCTTTTTTGAAGGAAGATTTGCATCTGGCCTAAAATACTTGGGGCTACAGCCCCAAGTGATCAGGCCTAACGACGCCCCTGGTGAGTACCGGCCCACTTCAAGCACTGTATGTAACTAAAGTAGGGCTTTATGCTTACATCTCTGTCAAGAACTCGCCCTGTACTGTTTAAATGTAACCTTTGTCTTGATGGATCCAAAATAACCCAGTAGTCATAATTGTTAAGTAAAGATAATGAAATTGTTCTGCCAGGGTCTTTAGTTCTCCCATTTATTTGCATATTTTCAACCAGCACAGTCCCTGAAAAAGAAAATACATTAGAACCAAAATAATGACAATTATATAGTAGTACAAGGAATGACTGAAGGAAGTACTGATCTGCGATTAGAGCTCCCAAGGACTTGTGTAGGCACGAGAAACACTGGAATCAGCAGCTATTAGCTAAGAGAATACCTGATGTCTCTCAATAACCAGCCACCAGCAAACGCACCATCCTTTGCTATCCGACACACTCCAAAGTTGGATCAGATATAAGCATCATATGTATTCCCAGATCACTTAATCACAGTGGGCCTCATTCACCAACCGTTCTTACGAACAAATTTGTTCTTAAACCCCACGTGCACACTTTTTTATGAAGATTCTGAAATGAGGCCCAATGTCTGTAAAAAGTTATTGAAGGTTCCATATCAGCTGGACATTTAGGCCTACTGCCTAGAACCTTTTTCAACAGGTGAAGATGTGATTCAAGAGGCTGCAAATATGAATAGGGTTGAGGGTTCCATCCACTGCACCTGAAATGCCAGGTATGTCTGGAATTGCATGAAAAGTAATTTTATCATCATGCAAGGCATCCCCCCCCCTGCTGGAAATTATATGTAGTTGTATCTGGTCAATGCATGCACAGATTTGGACACAGCAGCCTTGCTGAGGCTATGTGCATCACTGATGATCTGCAGAACTCTACCAGTGGCGTAGAAACAGAGAGCTGTTAGAAGCTGCACAATGGGAATGAGGACAAAATTCCAGTCTCTTCCACTTTTCAATGTATCCTGCAGCAGACCAAGGAGACTCATTATTTCTCCCCAGGCTGAACCCCTGATAGTGTTCTTTGTTGCTGTCTCCCTGGTATTTCTCTCAATTCTAGCCCCTGTTTATTCATGATGTCCTATTTTCCTTAGTTTTAACCCCTCATAGTCCTGATTAGTTTTTAGTGTATTTTTGGTTCAGTTTCAAATTAATTTCCCTTGATGTCCGAAAGCCGCTCTAAGGTTCGTCACTCCTTCCCTGCATCCTGACATGACACTCTGACAGTGCTGTCTGAAACGCAATCTTCGGATACCATTGCTGGTTGTGAGGGGTGATTCACCTTCCCAGTTACAAGAATGTGACTGAACACAAATTTGATTGGTTAGTTTATTATGTACCAGGGTTGGTCCGAATTTATCAGTTCAAAGAAACTCAATGCAATCACACAAAATTTTTGCCAAATGAAATATTTATATTATAGATTTTACATTGTAGATGGTAGATGTATATATTAACATTATTTATATATATATATTTGATTTACAGTACTATGCGAAAGATAAACTACTTTAAAGCTATTCATGCTTATGCAAATAAGAGTAACAGTGAAAACTGATTATCAGATTCCTTTTCTTCTCGTCAGTCTAAAATTTCTTAACTACAGAAAACGCAAGCATGCAGTATATTAAGTTTTTTCCTGTCTTAATATATTGTAGTACTGAACCAATTTGACCAGTTTACCTTTTTTCACAGTAGAAATTTAATTAACAGAACAAGTCATTTTTTAAAAATACATACCATTTGGACTTTCCTCATCAATTGTAACTATTGTGGCAGGGGGGCCTGTCCTTGATAATTTGCATTCTGCATATCAAGAAGAAAGAAATCCACTTTAAATACGTTTTACAAAACTACTGATGGAGTTCAAATGCAGTTTTCTAAGCAAACGTAATGGAAAAGATATGTAATGCAGATATTTATAGTGCATTATAGATAAGAGCTTCATAGGCCATTCATAATGCATAATAAACATGGCTATAATGTGTTATGCCTTATGATAAATATTTATAGGCATGTTATAATGCTTTATGAAGGTATCTATAATGCATTATAATAACTGCTTTAGGTAAAGTGTTACCTGAATGTTGAAATTGTTATTTAAATAATTATTAATTATAAATGATACCAACCATTAAAATTACCTGTCAAAGTCACCCATCAAACTCACTGGGTGTTAAATATATGTATGAGTATGCAGTGCCTTCATATTTGCTTAACTTAATTTTTCATTCCACATTATTAGCATGATCACAAACTTAATTGCACTCCAATATTTAATATTGTAAATGTACACCTAAAATACATTCATGGTAACATTCAGCAATATATTTTAATTTATAGCACAACAGAAGGCCTCACTAAACGATGTGCTTCAGTACAGTTGACTATTGTATTGACTATCTGCTTTTTGCTGAAAAGGACCCATATGAATAGGAATCAGCTTACATGGCACAAATACGACACTGACACTGCCCACAGGTAGAGTTTCCTATTAAAGATTCCTGTTCTAGTAATAGCTATTTAACAACAGATACTCTATCAAATATACATAAGTAGGTTCTCTGTATCAGATTAACAAACAATTCAGGAACAATGTCAATTGAATGCCATCATACAGTCTTCACACTTTCCAAAAATATTTTAGGATGCTATGAGATGAAAGACAGTTATATTGTTTTAATTATCCATCTCCTGTTTAAAATGTATTTCATGTACAAAAATACAATATGTAGTATTTGAATAATAGTGCCATCTCAAATAAAAACTGATCTCAGAATAATGGTAATAGGCCATTCATCTGTATTTGAACTGCTCTGCTGGTCAGGAGGCCTGAATCCCTTCCCAGGCTGCATAGAGCATAAAGCTGGGGTCCACCCTGGATAGGATGCCCATTGCAGAGCCCATGCAACACAGGGTGAACTTGCACTCTCCACATATGCATAGCAGAGGTTGGGCTTCAGACCCTTATGGATAGAGATTTAAGGCGACAGTGCTACCAGCTGAACCAACATGCCCCCAAGATCAATTTACCACCTGACATGTAAATATACCTCACTGAGTATATGAGAGTAAATTAAACATGATAAAATATTCTTATATACCTGAAAGCCATAGGTTTAATCTCAAAATAGTTGGAATCATTAAAATGTGCCTTAGTCACAAGGTGACTAAATAATTAATCACAACTTGGCTTTTCTGGCGGATCCCAGCTGGCTTGAGTGCTGACTCTCCTGACGGCTCATATCACATTACCATCATGTCTCAGTGGTTAATCCCATTCACATCTTCAGGATTAAGAGTTTGAATCTTAACTCTGCATTGGTTCTGAATTTGCATGTCTTTTCCCCACATATTACACAGACTAATCCTCTAAGTTGCCTGTAGCGTGACAGTATATGTGCATCATTTACCTGGACGTCCTAAGTATATTTAAAGCATCACCATGAAAATTTCCATTAATTAACGTGGCACTTCACCATGGAAGAAACATCAGGAAAGGCCAATATAATGTTCTTAATACAGTTGGTCCTGCTACAACGTGTGATATCATACCAAGAGTCTATCCCAACACAACTGATTTATTAGCATCCAAGTCCAATACAATGTGGAATTGCATCTATATTTGTGCGATTTTCAGTCATAGACAAAACCACTATCCGAACTACAATGCGATATGATCTTGCCATGAAATACTACTTGCATGCAAAAACAGCTATCCAAGTGAACAATAGGGATGTTTGATTTGTAAACGAATCTTTCTTTTGAACTGGTTCTTTTCAGTGAATTGGTCAAATCGGTTTTCAAATCCAAAAGAATCAAACTTTTTGTACATCCATGCGTTGCACAGGTAAAAGTCTTAGATTCTAAAAATCTAAAAATATTTGACATATAATCATATAAAACACACAGCAACCTTTTTGATTCACTTACATTTGCTTTTCATAGGATGTCTGTAGCCATGTTTACTTCAGTGCCCCTCTGCATACCATAATCCATTGTGTTTGTGTAGTACCCACGTCTGGCCACATGGTGGCTGTGGCCCCTTACTCCCGACACTCGGCATTTGACAATTTAGCGAGTTTGGTTAATTTTGGTTGAGGCAGTTACAAGGTAATTGTTGTGAGACTTTTAAGATCCATAGGAGACTACGTATCGATTTGCATCCTGCGATTTTTATGGGAGGGACTGCCTGGGTATGTTTCCTTATTTCCCTGCTAACAGGTTGAGCCTGGAAGTGGGCGACCGCCTTGTGGACGGAGAAGAGTCCGGTGCTGGATTCCTCCATCACCTTTTAGCAAGCTTTTGGAGAGGTCTTTGATCACCCTGCAGTAGGTTGGACCTGTGGGGATCGACTCTGCAACCTCAAGCTGGGAAACAGTACCACGATTGACTTCTTGCTTGATTTCCAAACCCTAGCCGCTGGTTTAGGGGTTTAGGGTGGCCATCTTCCTCTTTGCATATGTTGTACCTTCGCATCTTAAACTTGGCACTGCAGGCAGAGATTACATTCTGTGGTGAGGTATGGACTTTTGAAGACACTGCTTCATCCAAGGATTCAGCTCAGTAGCTGCCCCGATGCGTCTAAAGTTGGAGTTGGTGCTGTCCTGTCTCAAAAACTGGGAGACTCAGGTCTGACATACTTGTGGACTTTCTTCTCCAAGAAGCTCAGCCCAGTCGAGCGCAACTATGATGTGGGAAACCAGGACCTACTGGCCATAAAACTTGCCATGGAGGAGTGGTACCACTAGTTAGAGGAGGCTGAACATCTGTTCCTGGTGTTAACAGACCATCACAATCTAGAGTACCTCCAGACCACCAAAAGGTTGAATGCCCAACAAGCCCATTAGGCCCTATTCTTTACTCATTTCACTTTTAAAGTGTCCTGTCCTCCAGGGTCAAAGAATGTCAATCTCTTGGGACCTGGACCAATCCCTGCAAGGGGCAAACCTGAACACACCTCCACCTACTGACATGCATATATCATTAAGAGCTCAACAGTGACATAACAGGATGGTATGCTAAAGCACCTTCGAAGTTCTGCATGCATAGACAGAAATCTTTGAAAATGTGCTGTTTGAATGATCATTTTTGGATGATATTCAGGGCTGACATTAGTATAGATTGAGTGATCTGTGGTATTCAGATAATCCTTGATCAGGATCAGAGTGTAAGCTGATTTTTCCCAACTGGTAACATTTTTCTGGTTGGAAGATGAAACATACTGTGTTGCGCTTTATCAGAAATGTAGTTTGTATGTTCTCCAGTGTTGTGAGGGTTTTCTATCAGTCTAGAGACATCCATCCATCCATCCATCCATCCATCCAACTTCTACCTGATTATCTCGGTTAGGGTCACATGGTAAAAGCAAACATTCTAAATAGCATCTTTGTCCATAGTGTGTCAATGTATGTGTTATACAATGAATTGTCATCCAGGATATTTCCCTGTTTCATGTCCTTGCTGCCCTTGTATCCTGTGACTGGCTAAGCAATTGGGATATGGATGGTATAATCCAAAATGTAGTATACTATTATATTATATTATAAAAACAATATAACCAGTTTTTTGTTATATAGTACTTGCAAACAGGAAGATGTGGTTTGATATAACATTCACTTTCTATATAGTGTTAGCCTCACACTTGAGCCACCCACAAAATAGACTTCTTTACCACGTATACTCTGACTACTTGCCCTTATGGCAGCAATAGTAACAATAGTATTCACATTTCCCTTTACATTGCAATTACTGTAAAATATTTCAAAAGTTCCCTTTACAAGTTAAAAACTTACCTTCACTATTATTCTGTTGAGACCAACTGAAGGTAAACAAACAAAAGAATGTAAATCCTATCCTCAGACAGCTGAAGAGCCACAACCTCTGTTGCATTTTATATCAAGCGATATTTTGGGCCTTCCTGAAAAAAAGGAGATAATTCGTGACATATTTACACTAATGTGCAATATGGAATAGCTCTACGATTAGCCATTCAGCAAATTTTGAGTATTGAAAGAGACAAATATGTACTTTTTTCATTTAACATGTCTCTTGTGGGGAGTAGTTACATATATAAAATGAGGAAATTGCTGTTGCCCACCCAGTGACTGTTGGTTTCCTAAACAGGCCTGTTGATTTCATTCATTCATTTTTCAAGCAATATGATATTTAAATTGGAATGTTGTACAGTATTGATTTGCTATTGAAATCAACTAACCCAAACTGGTATCAGTATTGAAGGAAAAATTTTGCCATCAATCCAATTAGGCATGAACATATAATCACGTTTTAGTCAAATAATGATGTAAAAAAAAATAATATTTACAGAAAATGAAATATATGTCTCCTTTAGATCTATGATGGACTTGCATCCCATCTAGTGTGATCCCTACCTGATGCTACCTGGGATAGGCTCTAGGCCCCCAGACAATCCTGCTGAGGAACATCTTTGGAAGATGGATGGATTGATGGATGGACTCAGTTCGGCCATCCAATAGTATATCCATCTATCTATCCATTCATCTTCCCACCACTTTTCGTGAGCAGTGTCACCATGTCTCATATATTTGGAATTTCACATTGGTTTTGTTGTAATTGTTCATAAGAAAGGCAATACAACAAAATCATAAGATGAACTAGCTAACACTTCACAACAGTTACACATTAACAAAATACCAGCTGATTTCTAAGATGATTCTGCAATTAGATGAACGCAGGCAGGAAGAAAGAGGTTGACATGCACAAATACGTTATGTATTATACAATACAGATTTTTCACATTTCTTTACTCATCACTGTTAGTAAATAGATCTTTGATAGTAGCTTACATGAACCAGACCTCCCCTACCCTTATGCAAAATTTTCTGTTTTGCACATCATGGAATCTTTTTTTTACTGGAATGATCCTACATTCGAAAATGATAAGTTCAAAGAATGATTTTGTTAACACAATAATGCTGATACCGTTGAAGACTAGGATGTCTAAGACAATTACATAATTAAAATTGCTACATCAATTTACCCATTATCAAATTGTACAGTCCATCATGTTATACATTTTTTATTTATCTAAGACAAGAAATTTTAAAGGACCATTTTCAAGCATATCGTTTCAATACTACTAAATCTAAATCTCCCAACAACCAGATCATATAAAAATGTGGGTTTTATTTGGGTTTAGTTTTGCTTTGCTTCTATACAAACAATACCCTCATCTCTGGTGACAGATATGCAGCTTTCTTTGTACGTGTCATGCGAATAGTAAAATATTACACTTGTTTGCTATGGATATAATTAAATAACATGATGAAATGATTTTCAAAAGGACTAACTTATAAGCATATATAGGTTTGGTCATAACAGTGCTGACATATATTTAGTGTCCCTCAATTTTATTCAAATTTCTAAAATTTTGAATAACCAATAAAACATAAGCATACTTATACATTTGATATATAACAGATAAAATGTTGTTTGACAATCTCAGAAGCTAAATATTCAACTGTAATGGCAACAAAGCTCCTCCTGATCATTTTGTGCTGCGTAACTGAAGTGTCATTGTCTTTAAAAGTAGCTAATAATTATTCCTGATTAGAAACGCTGCTTATCTTAAACACACATGGTTAAATAAACAAAAAAAGCATTTTAATATGGATCTGAAAAATATTTCAGTATGTAAATAAAAAACAAACTCACCACTCTCTTCTAAAATCAGGTGTCACATTCAACAAATGAAAAATGAAAAAATACTGTACAATTTTAACTTCCTATGAACAAAATGCATTACAGATCCCAAGCTGACACACAACTTCCAAATTGTTCCTTTACGGTACGATATATACTTCTTTAACATGTTTCTAGCCCTTCTGTTGGACTGCTGTTGCTGAGACCTGATACTCCTTGGTAACTAGAGCTATGTCAACCTCTTGTTAGATGTAATCAATCCACAGGACAATTCAGTTCAACTATAGGCAAGCTTTAATCAATTTGATAATGCTTTCTTTTACAACACCTTTTTAATGCTTTAAAACAAACATAAACCCAGGTGTTACAACGATTTATGGAAGCGTACATAAAGCAAACATAAACAAACTGTACCTCATCTTCCCCCTCCTCTCTTCCCAGCTGTCAGACAAAGACCAACAACACAAACATAAGTAACAAAAGGAATTTATTTAAAAAAGTCAGATTTTCAGGGGCAGTGTTGGGTGTAACATGTTACAAAGTAACACATTACTGTAATCACATCACATTTGTAGTATAGTAGTGTGTATATTGATAGCCTAGCTGGCCCAAAAGCCCCCCAGGCTGCATGAGGATGAGGAGTGGCTGCGTGGGTTCGTGGAGCAGGGGTAGCACAGCCTGGAGAGGATGCATGAGGAGCTGGCCTGCTGTGAGCGTGAGCATGGCCTCCAGGAGCAGGAGGGTGGAGCCAAAGAGGTTGCGCTGCTTGACCACAAGGGAGCATGTGTTGCTCTGGAGACCCAGTTGGCTAGGGAGTGCTGTGAACTAGATGTGCAGTGCGGGGAGTACCAGTGGGGCCACTGGATCCAGGGAGCAGGAGGGGCAGCAAGTTCCCACCAACCAAGACACGTAAGACGAAGGGCCGGCACTGAAGGGACCTGCAATGCCAGGGCCCCCCAGAAGCCCAGCGTCCGCCGGCCTTCCGGTCTCCTCAGCTTCGCCAGTGCTCATGATTGGGAGGCTCCTGCTGTCACAAGTGAGGGGGCCCTTGTTACCCCTGTATATACTACTGAAGGAACAAGTCATGAATAACACAAGTTAAATACTGATCTCATATCTGTTCATCATTAATGAATCACGATGCATCTTTCATCCCAAGCAGTTACTATATTTGTTACCATATCTGTCAGTTACGTAAACCTTTGTGAACTACTGAATGAACTACTGAAGGAACTTATAAAGAACTACTGAAAGAACAAGTTATGAATAACACAAGCGAAATACTGATCAAGTTTGTTGACCGTTAATGAATTTTTTATCTCAATTAGCAACAATATTTGGTTATAATTTGTTCATGATCAACTTCACTAGTAACTGAGTCATTGCTAAGTATTTGTGCCCCATCAAGTAGTATCACCAAAACATTTTGTAGTATGTGATTTGTCTTTGCTTTTATCTTTTGGTGAAAGAGCACCCACCTTGTTAAAACCAATTTGGCAGAAAAATTCCCATTTGCAAATTATGTAATATGCATGATGTGGACAACATAAGCAAAAGGTTCAACTATTTGAAAGATCATACTTTTTTACTGATACTTATACATGTAAATATTAATTCCTAATTAATGCACTTGCTTCGAAAGCTGAAGAAGTCTAGCCTCCCCCCTCCCATCCTCACGTCATTCTACCACGGGACCATTGACAGTGTCCTCTGCTGCTACGTCACTGTCTGGTATAGAAACTGCACCGCAGCTGAAAAGACGTCCCTGCAGTGGACAGTGAGGACAGCAGAGAGCATCATCGGGGTCCCTCTCCCAGCCATCTCCCACCTGTACCAAAAGCACATCATCCATGGTGATCACCAGAACTTTTCTCTGAGGTACAAGTTATACCTGAGTGGCTGTCAAGGATGTGTACACCCATTGTGGTTAAATTCTGGTTGGAACATTGGTCTTATTTGGAGAAGTTTCTGATGTAATTGTTACACTCACAAATTCAGACATGCACAGGGCAGCAATCCAGACGCATTCCAAAGCTGCAAGAATCCAGGAATTAAGCTAAAGGAACTTAACTGATCTTACTGAGAGCCCAATAATTGCACCATGCTTTTCTACAAAGAAGAAACTTAAAGTGGCAGGGGATATTCATGGCCAAATAATCCCCAAGGTGAAATCCACCTTGATTTACAGGTCTCTGGCCTCTGATTCTAGTGTTGGGGTTGATCTAAGCATAAACAGGGCCGGTCCCAAGCAAAAGGACAATGGCACTATCCCAAGGCTCAAGAGAATCCATGCCTTGGTCTTGCTGTAAATGCCTTTGAATGGGTAGGTACTCAGAATGAATCAGGAGAGGTCTTCCCTAAAGGAATGACTGAGGTTTGTAAACTAGCATGGAATAACAAGATCAACATGGTCAGTTTCTCCTACTGCCATGTCAGCCCCGACTCTAATTCCACTGTATGCATGCTGCCAAAGTGTTCTTTAATAACTGGACAAGGGGAGAATCAAAGTGAGACTAAAATAAATGAAGCAAACAGATATAGTACAGCACATCCTAACCCAACCTGTCCTGTAACCCAAAGACAATGCAACACAGTCCATATGTAGAGATGTTTAATTCCAAAATCATAATTCACAAATAGGCAGTCAAAAACCAGGCAGAGCCAAATAAAGGCAAAGAAAAAAACTTAAATCACAATCCAAATTCATAGCCCTAACACAGGCCAAAAGCTACCAAGCTGATACATGCAGTATTCAGCCAAGAATCAAATTCAAATCACAGAGAGGGGCAGGAAAAACAACAGGAACACAAGCAGGGGTCATAGATGGAAATCAGGTCATAAAACAACCCCTCAGTATGGTGTGACACTCAATACTTCACAAAAAGGTCATTTAATCCATGCCAATTAAGTAGGTTGATGAATGGTTGATGAATTACAGGTGAGTCTAGTTCAGAAGATGTGGAGTGAGAACCAACTGGGTGTGACAGAATGAAAGCTCTGCTTGATGTCAGTGTGACAGGGATGCCAGCCCATTGACACGTAACAGTACAAATTTTAAAACATTATACTCATTGTATAATTACCACAAATATAGTTACAGTTACACTTGTGTAAACACCAAAGTAAAGCAATATTTATACAAAAGGTTTTGAGTGAATAATTAAAATTCACCCAGCCCAGAGCTTTGGAAAATTACAAAGGCTATTTAAAATGGCATCAAAACAATACATAAATAAAATAATTTTGTGCAGCTGAATTTTGTGCAAACTAATATGCTTTTCCTTATTTATTTCAAAATTATTCCCATCCAAATTTATAGAAGTCAAGAAATTGGAATTTACATATGCATTATCTGACATTTAACCACCAACCGTTTGTCATTAAAAACGCTAAAATACTGTACATTCCCTTAAATGTTGTCAACGCAAATATTTAAAAAAATCCTTCCCTAGAGAGTGAAGGGCACAAGGACTGGATACAGCAGATGGTTAAATTACATATGAGCCTCTTAAAATGAAGCAATAATGCATATACTGTCTTATAAGAAATCAATTTGACACTGAAAATGGTTGTATAAATATGATTGTTTAAAAAACATAAACTGAAGCCCAGCACTGGAAATATGTCCATCAGGTTCTACATGCTATGGTGGAATCAGGCTGCACCATCAGTTATGCTACAGAGGCAACTCTCTTGCAGTCGCCACTTCCCTGAATCACAGGTATTGAGTTTTCTTGCTTGTGCTTGTTCCAACAAGGCATAGAAGAAATGAAGAAACTGAAGCCTCCCACCAATACACAGCCTCCACTAAAGTAGAAAGCAAGGTCATAGGACTGTGTCCAGTCATAGAACCAGCCTAAGAACAGATGAAACAAGAGATAATTGATAAAGAACATATTATCAAATAATATATACATATCAAAGCCATACGACTAATTTCATATTATTTGTTTATTTATTATTTATGCATCATCAAAATACAATAAATCAGTTCTCTGCTCTTTATGTTGCTTTGACGTACAGAAAGATCTTACCTACAAGCGGAGGTCCAAGCATAATACCAAATCCTCCGAAAAACATTAGAATCCCATAGGCTTCGGTCAGTTTTTCAATTCCAACAATCTTGGTGGTGACATAGGGTGTTATAGACCAGTTCCCTGAGAAGAACCCTACTACCCCTGAGAGGATTTGAAGACCAGTATAGCTATTAGATATTGGAATGATGAGTAGAGCAAGTCCTGTGGCGGCAACTGTAAAGGCATAGAGATACAGGCTGTTGATCGCCTTGAGATCAGCCATCATTCCCAGCACTAGCTTGCCCATACCAGTAGTAATAGCTACAATGGAAACCAGGGGTATGATTCTGATGTCAACGATGAAGCCCTCGCTTTGTGCCAAATCCTCCATGAAGAGCACAGGAGGGAAGGCCCCCAGGCTGTAGAGGAAGAGGGTGACGCAGAGTGACAAGAAGATTCGATCTTTCAGGAACTGGCTGGTGGTGTACATGTAGCTAGTGTAGGCTTGTTGTTTGTTCTTAATACTCTGTACCAGTGCAGAGCCACCAAAGAAGCTGCTGTTGTAAGCCAGTGAATCTTTGGTGTCAGCAGTGATCAGCAGGTCTTTCACAATCAAGCCCTTTTCAGTGGCTACCGTAGTCTTAACTGGGTCTTCAGTGGCCAGTGGCTTCTCAGACTGTGAGAATGGCTGCTCCTCAGTCTGCTCTAATGCTGCCTTCTGCTTGAGGTAGAAGCCTGGCAAATGCAAGGGCCTCATTGGTCCAGCACAGGCTATGAGGTTCAATGACAGTGCTCCAATGATCAGTAAACACCCATCAAGTCCATACATTTCAATGAGTTCATTCTGAGCAGTGGCATACAAAAAGCCTCCCACACTTGTACCTAAGAACAGATATAAAGAAAAGCTCACAATAGGAAACTATTTTGTATTGTATAAAAACATTTGCATATGTAAGGAGAGTCATACCTGTCGTTACGATTCCCAGTGCAAGGCCACGTCTCTTGTCAAAATACTGACAAGTAATAGTCACGGTAGCAGCATAAACTAGTCCACAGCCTAAGCCTACAACAAACAGGAACATTTAGTAAATACATACGTTTCAGAACAACTAGGACTCTACATGGGCCTTGATGAGCACTGGGAGGAACAGTAGAAGTAAAATACACATTTTGCTTTTTTGCGTATTATACATAAAGGCAATTTTGAATGTATGTCAGTTACTCTTTATGAATATTATGAATTATAATTAAAATACAAAGGGATCAGTCATATATATCAGTGACATCCGCAACATTAAAATAAACAATACACCTGCCTTCTTTAAAACTACATGCTATTTTTCAAATGCTTACACCATTGTCAGTTATAGCATAACCTTACCGAGAACAATTCCATATGAAAAGATAAGAAATTGCACATTGGGTGCAAAAGCACTGAGCATGAAGCCCCCAGCAACCATAACACCACTGAAGATTGTGACAGGTCTAGCACCGAAGTTCATGACACAGGCACTGCAGATGGGACCTAGAAAAACATAGAGAAAAGCAGCACTGCATTTTACATGTGCAATGGTAAGAGAAACTTTCAGTGATTAAAAAACACAGTTACAGTTTTATGACCAAAGATCATAAATATTGGGATTCAATGAAGACATCAGTGTCTTTTCTCTACTTGAAATGAAAGGAGCCTGTCTGTTGATTTGTGGCTTGTGTTGATACACATTGCTAATAATGCTTTTTTTTTTTCCATTTCACATACTCTAGCGGGGAAGCACAGTGGAATGGTACGAAGCACTGTGACATCATATCTCTGCGGATATGGGTTTGATTCCATGCACCTGGCTTTATGTGTGTGGCGGTTGCATGTTCTTCCAGGTTTTCTGTGGGTTTCCTCCTGCTGTTCAGAAACATGTCAAAAATAGCCAAAAATATGTTATGGTGTGCTGTGATGGACTGTATACTGTCCAAACCATCCTATGCCCTGTGATTCCTGGGACAGCTTCCAGACCCACTGCACTAATGAAAGATGGATACATATGCTCTAGCTTATTTTTTCTCCAGAGAATAAATTTTGTACTCATTTTCTACTTTTCTGATACAGCTTTTAACAATACTGGTGTGTGATTAAATATTACATCTGCTTATGGTTAGTAGATAAAACAAGTATGAAATCATCTTCACATTTAAATCTTTCTGTCCTGCTTCTGCAGCCATTTTTTGATAGTAGTTTTAAAAAACAGTATTAAAGACTGAATACAGTTGTTTGCTAGAATATTTATTTGAAATGTTTCTCATACACCTGACTATTCTCATACATGGTAGACTGTCTAGTGAACTAAATATGAATAATGCTACGATTGAATGCAACAATAATAATAGATTGGTTGTCATCAGTACATCCAAAGCAAGCCAGTCACAATTCAACCACAGCAAACCCAGAAACAACATGCAAGCTCCATGCACAGATAGCTAGAGGCAAGACTTATCCTCAAATGTGGTGGCACCCAGTAGCATGTATTTACTTTATTTTACTTTGTTTCTTTGCATTTGACAAGTGGAATTCACACAATACATTTGGCAGTTGTTTAGCAGCAAATCTTTGCATCTGACATCCATACATCATTAAGTGAGCAAAATGGAACTTCATACAAATGTAACTTTTATACTTATTGAGGTGTTGCCATGTTTAGTGGCCTTTGTGAAATAGACTTACTTGCAATGAGTCCAACACCGGAAACAAGAGAGCCAACCCAGGCAGTCAGGCCTTTTCCTTCCTTGAAGGCTCTAAGCCATTCTGGATACAGTACACCAACAGATAGGGGAGACCCATATGCCAAGAGCTGGCCCATAAAGGACACCATAACAATGACCCATCCCCAACCACCATCCAGAGTTTTCTTTGAGATATTTGAGCTCATGTTTAAGCTTGGCTGTCTCAACAGGACCCCCTGCAAAAGAAAAGACAAAAAACCTGGAACATTTAACCTCTTTAGATCAGAGATCATTATTATTATTATTATTATAATAATAATATAGCTTAATAATAATAATAATATAGCTGCAAGCAGCAATAATGTGGCCAAGCACACTGAAAGAAATTCAGAAAGTATGAAATACAAAAACATATTACCAAATGAACATAGATCATATACCACAAGCACAAGCTAACACACCGAATGAAACATAAAAAAAAACTGCAACAGCAACAGGTCAGGAACAAGTATGGGAAGTAAATCACAGAGATATTTTTTCAAATTCTGCCTAAAAAGTGTGATGAAGGACAGGTCCGGGAGCCTTTTTGGCAGTGAGTTCCAAAGTTTTGGAGCTAACGCACTAAATGCCTTGCCACCCATAGAAGACAAGCAGAGCTGAGGCACCACTAGGACACTAGCACCTGCAGACCCGCGAGAATGGGCAGGCGTACAAGAGAGGACAGTGGGGAGCTAGAACATATACGGTCTTAAAAGTTGAAATTTGGTGCACATGCCCAGACTGTGACCGTGAGTCCAATTCCCAAGGCTGGTCTCAAAAATCAAAGCAATGCAGAGACATGGTCACCCATCCAGATTGGCGGCTTCATCCCTCTGAAATCTATAGTGAGCCTTGGTCCAAAGATTATCTGTCCTAAATTTGGTGAAGACTAGACAAAATTTGTGGCTTGTACGAAATTTTATACCTTTTAATAAGCCAATATGGCAGTCAGTAATATTAGGTAGTCTTGAAACTTTGAAAAGATTCGGCCTTGGAACCTCCCACCATGTTAGCATACACACAAATTATTTTACTATGACAAACCCATCAACAGTTACAAGCCAAAACATATCTTTTGCTTATTACAGCACCCCCTATTGGCCAAATGACATTTTTTGTTGGGCTTCCTCAAAATGGGGTCCCAAGTACAGCTAACGAAGTTGGTTCTAACATATCAAAATATTGCTGAGATGTGACCTCACATCCTGTTTGATGGCTTTGCCATTAAATTCATTGGACGACTGTAGCCATATCATTTGACTTAGCATAATGGTTTGCAATACTTTAGGTTCCAACCCTCTACAGGTGATGTGTACCAAGATTGGTGGTGAGAAGATCAACACCCTAGGATGAGTATGCAAAAGTAGGTTTTCTGAAAAATTCTAAATGCCGGAAAATATGGTGGACTTTAACAATGAGTGCATTCCAATCTGGAAAAGTTGAAGGGAAATAAAGACCATAAACCTTGGACAAATGGTTCAAAAGTTATAAGCCAAAATGTACCTTGAAATTTGGTCTGATGCTGGTGCTACAGGGATCAATGGCTTGACCCCAAATTTGGGGAATGAATACGTATGTCTGTTCACAAATGTTCACCTAACACACACCTGAATGCTCTAGACCAGCAAACTTCTGCTTTTATAGAGGCGGTCACACTTGCTGATGAACAATTAATCAAGTGAATTTGATTAGCAGCACATGGTTGCCACTTACCCTCTCCATTCCCATGAGGTAAGGGTGTACTTAATTTCTCACACACTGCGTCTACATTTTGGCTTAGTTTATGTTGAACAACTAATGACACGGTGTATTTGTTCATGTGTTGTTGTTCATCTAAGGTTGTATTTACTTAATTTTAAGACCTGCTAAGGACCATGTGATTTTTAATGATATTCTTTTTCACATAACTGTATAATAAAAATAAACGATAATAATAATACTAATAGTACTCGTGTTCCAACGACTTTTCTTAGCAAAAGTAAACCATAATGAACGTAAATAATAAATTTTAATCATGTGCCTGTTTGGTAATCAGTGTAACCCGAATAATTGCTAAGCATTACTTTTTGGGTTTGGTGGAAACCGGTTTGAAGCTGTTTATGCCGGCCGGGAAGCAAGAGTAGCTCTCAGTGCACTGTGGTACCATACACATAGATAGGACATTACAACAGCAACGTTAAACAAGAACAATTATGACAAATATATGCCGGTACGGCTTATCCGTTTCATCCTAGCATGTGTCAAACATGCTTTGTTATTAATTGTAATCACTGTGATTTCATGAATTTGTTTTGCATTAACAGCTAGTTATTTATAAATACGCCTACCTGTTAAGAGCAGAAACCTTAATTCTTCAGTTTTCAGAAAGATGCCAGTCAAATATATTTCCGACAAGCCTTTTTCTGTCTAAAGATCATAGTCCAAATGTCAACGATTTAAATTTAGCACTCGCGTTTTAGTAAACATGAAATAAGCTGGAGCAATGTATACGTAAATCATGTTGAGGAAATGTACACGACACGCTTAACACTGATCAAAACCTGTGATTTATCCTTTCAGATGCCTTTTAGATCTACGCTGCGGTACTTTCATTGTTGACATTTCGGATACTCCAGTTGAAACCGGTCACATGATGGCAATACTGTGGATAATATAGGCATTTTACGTCTGCCGCCGCTGGGGGGCGCTAGCTGCTACACAACCGACGGGCCTTCAATGCGTCTGTATTATCTCAGTGTTTTATATAGCCCGATTTTATATAACAGCTAGGCAGGTAGCAAGGTACAGCCTGACGGGACTCCTCCTCCCCCGAGGAAAATCTACCGAGGGAAACCTATTGGCTGGGCTTCTGGAACACTCCATGTAATTTATTCCAGGCTACAGGCCTGATAGTAACTTTTACACATCAAGCACAGATATAAGTTGTATAAATGTTTATAATGTGTTTGAAGTCAAATTCCGAAATGAAATTGTCAATGAACTTGAATCACAAAATTTTAAAAAAAGATTATTTTATGTACGCATATAAGCACAAATAACAGTAGTAGAATTGCACGTCTGGAAAGGTCGAGAAATACGGATTTTAATAATTATTTATTAAGCTTAAACCGTAGAAATAACTTCAGTATTTAACATAAAAACTGTCATGAAGCACTGAACAGAAATGCGTGTCACATTATATTAAACTTACCAAAATACATCGGGTTCACTGTAATTACAAGAATCATTATTGTTAATCGGTGTTCTGGCTGTTATTAAAAACAGATTACATTGGATAGTGCATTCTTGCAGTCACAGTTTGCCAAAGTGTACTGGTATTTCCACTGAATTATCTTGCTATATTCTTTATAAAGAATAATGTAGATGTAGGCCTGCATATATTGTAACGCTGGAGGTACCCGTCAGGCAGCGCAGCATGTGAATCGGTGCCAACCATGTAATAATGTAAATACTTCCCTGCATCTATCATATATCGCGGTGTCATTGTTCTGTATGTAATGTCATGTGCAGCGTTAATGTTCATGGTTGTGATCAGTGGTGTGTGCGCGCCCACTGTGGGTTGGAGCGGTCGGGGCGGCCAGCACGGTGCGCAGCGGGGTTGGTAACGTTGTCAGGTCAGCGGATTTCGCGTATAACTGGGCTATTTTGAAAAAACAGTTTCAGGTAAATATTAGTGGGCTGCGGGTTTGGGAAAAGAAATGGCTTCGAATTCTTAGTAATACTGAATCACTAGCCACCTAAAGTCAGAGACAGACGCAGACAGAAAGCAGGGCTGCGAGCTCCAACTCATCTGTCTTCCGGCAAATCTATTTTATTCCATTATAAACCTAAAATTAGCTACATTCGAAGCGTTGGGGTAGTTAGCAAACCCTACATGCTACTTACAAGATAATAAAACTGTTACATGCATGCAAGTACATGTGCATGTGTGTGCAGCCGAATTGACATATCTCACTCCAGCCAGCTGAGCACAATTACCTGGGAGAGGGGAGCGCGTCCGTCGATGTGACGTCATTGTGAAGCATCGCCCCCTAAAGATGGCCAAGACTTGACTGATAGTTTTATTGTTTATTAAAATCTTTGCGTTAATCAACCAATAATCCAATCACCCAACGTAACAGCTGTGCAGAGCACAAGAAAAAATGCATCACCTTTATAGATAGCGCCATGTAACAGCATAACTTAGTGAAAGAGTATAAAAGTTCCAAAAATATACCTCAAACAAAACATTAACACACCACTAACTGTGCCTTTTCATGAAAACCAACCTTGTGCCGCTTCGGAGTGTCCAAATCATTCTGTGTCAGCTTCTTTTCTTTACGTCCGGTCAGTTCCTTTTTTTTTTTTTATCTTGCCGTAATAACTTATTAAAGCTAGGCACGTAATTTCAAAGTAAAAGTCCCTCAAAACAAAGTGAAACCTAAGGCAATATAAATTTACAAAAATTATATAAAAAGTAATACCTTAGGCATATTTAATAATACTATATTTTCTTGGAAAACAAAAAATATTTAAGATACAGTATACTGGGATTTCAAATACTGGGCTAGTTTCAGCTTTCGTTGGGCCAATTTTAAGTAGACCTTGGGCTGGAGGTTTTTGCTGGACCTGGTAACACTGGGTATTGGGGATGGTTGGTATTTGTGCTCGGTGTTTTTAAAAGCTGAAAATAAAGAGCAATCCCGTTCAAATACACCTGCCTCGTCCGTTTGTCACTGCCGTGATGCCTGGATCTGCTTCTCATTACAAGAAATGGAAACTGCAAATGGTTATGTCAGGCAAAAAAGTGTCAACCGAACACATTTATTTCATACAATCATTGGAATAAATGAAAACTGTAACTGAATTTTATTTGTCTCAAATGAAAGAATAAAAACAACAACACAAGAACAGAAAAAAGGGTTTTTATTTCACTTTATTTGGGGATTTTATTCAAAAACAGTGCTTTACAATACATTTGATGAATAATTTACATAAACTCCATGACAGGTCATATATAAAATTAACAGTAATAACAATGAACACACTGGCTGAAGTTTGACCGCACAATGCGCTACTTAAAATAACAGCGTCACTGTGCTATTTGAAAATAGTTCTTAGACGAGCTATTTTGGGGCTTCAATAGCTTAGCAATAACACCAAAATAAGCTTCATACTCCTGGAACTAAGTACATTTATTATAATAATGACGTAGTTATAATGCATGATTTGTGTCTGATTGTAAGAAAGCAAGAATAAAAAAGGACATGAAAGGAAACCAGATAAATGGTCTGCAAAGGCGACCCTGTCAAATTCTGTATATTTACAAGGCTATATGTAATGCAGTCATGTCACTGAAATGGAATAACGCAAAAATACAACATAAGAAGTTGGCTTTAGGTATCTCAAGAGCTATATCAAACAGCTTTTTTCATGTAAGAATGATACATTGTATATTTTTCTTGAATAACACAAAATAAGCAAACCATTTATCATATTAAAAATTCCTCCACCCCATACTTTACAGTTCTAAAGAATGACAGTGATGGTCTACAATTACCTCACACACTCAAAAAGTTGAAGTAATGTTTTTCATTTCATTATCACAATTACAGCAGCAAAAGCTTGGCAAATCTTCACATCTTAAAAACAAATATTTAAAGAGGTATTCATTTAAAAAAGAATCTGGGAGGAAAATTTACAACATGAACTAGTTTTATAATGTGACTTGTAATAAGTCAAAAGTGTAAGATGCGGCATATACATATTCTCATTTCTCGAAGAACACACAATGTTCTAAGTTTAAAAATGATTTATGCTAAAATTAGTTATTTGAATTATTGTAGTTGTGCCGCACATATGAGCACTACAAGCAACAAAATTCTCTGGGATCATCTAATATGGACAGATTCAAATAAATAGGAAATATTTGGCAAAAAATTCCTTTTTGAAAAACATCAGCATGAAAAAGTAATACAATGCTAGGATGATTATGAATGACTGACTTAGAAACTTCTACAGCTTAGTCAATACATAATACATTTACATACATGATGTAGTATGTGAGTCTATACAAATAATTCACCTCTTACAGTAATTACGCTTTCATCAGCACAATCTGTCAGTTAGCTATATATTGAAAATGAAACTCCTCCAGTAGACTGTTTCAAGAGAAAATGAAATAATGTATGTATGTATGTATGTATGTATGTATGTATGCATGTATATATATATATATATATTTTTTTTTTTTTTCTCCACAGTGGGAATTTTAAGAACAGTTTGAAATTGTTGGAGCTGACATGTTATGAATGGAATGTGTATATATATGAGGTTTTCTACTTTTTAAATTCTTAGTATGGTGATAGCAGTAACCTAAAACATAACTTAGAAAAAAAATGTTTTTAAAATAAGGAAAGTTGCATGCACCAAAAGTCTGAATAAATGAATATTCTGAATAATAAATATTCCCATTTTCATAATCTCAAAAATGTTAGAGTACATTTGAAGGATTTTTTTTTTGTTAAAATTAACCTAGCTTTTTCCCCATTTATAAACAGTATACTTGCTATTATATTTATACAAGAATGTGAATTTATTGTGAATTTTTTTTTTTTTTTTATAAGTGGAACTAAATTATGTCCAGAGCATAAGATTCAGTGCTGTAAACTATTTTAGACTATTTTACAAGAAAATATACATACAGTAAAATCCCTAATAACCTTTTTTAAAAGAAAGACAATTTACACCCTGACATTGTGGTTTCAAGAAGAAACATAAGGCGAGTGTAGAGAGTGATTAAGGAGTAATTCAGTTTCAGAGTGTTTCTTCCATCTTGGTAACAGGAAATGTCTGCCCTTTATCTGTTGCAGTCATGGTCCTTTCCATGTCTCTACTGGTGTTTCCCAGGTGTCCACACCATGGTCCAGGTCCTCAATAGGAAGCGAGGCAGCACATGGCACAAGGCTGAGTTACACCCTGGACAGGATGCCAGTCCAGCGCAGGGCACATACATGCACAAATACAATCATATCCTATGGGCAATTTAGAGATACCAATTAGCCTAACTGCATCTCTTTGAACTGTGGAAGGAAATCAGAGCAGCCACAGGAAATTCATGCAACAAAAAGAGAACATGCAAACACCACTGATGTAGAGCAGAGAAATGATTAAAACCCCCAACCTTGGAGGGCAAGAGTGATACCCACTGAGCCAACATGCAGCACCATAACTCATTCAAGAATCCTGAAATCTACCTGCACCGTATCTTGCTTCAAGATATAATCGGCCACTGTTATTCATTCAAATGCTGCCATCTCCAAGTGTTAATTGTATTAAAACAGCCCTGACTAAAATCATTGTCTAAGGTGTAGAGCTCAGCATTTTATACAGAGAAAAACTCAGTGGGAGAGATTAGCATGTCAGTCACCCACGTCTGAAATACCCCATTCAGTTATCCCAGAAAGTGGGTAGTTCATAAAACTTCAACTTGCCAGGGATTTCTAAGCCTAAAGTCTTCCACCATTACCTTGCAAGTTAAAATACTTGAACATTTCTGTGATCCATCCATCCCAGAAATTATAGGGTACAAGGGTAGGGGGACAGGAGAGGATGGTAGTCCATTGCAGAACATACAAACACACACAAAGGGCAATTTGGAGGTACCAATTCACCTAAAGGCATGTCTTTGGACTGTGGGAGGAACCAGAGTACCCAAAGGGAAACCCACATGCACACATACAAAGCAAGAGCAGGATTCAAACTTCGAACCCTGGAGGTTTGAGGTCACAGTGCTACCCAGCGAACCCACCCATTTCCCTGATAATGAATTTCTTGATGGGTTTTTTGATAATTCCAGAGTTCCCACAGTCTGTCTTTACTTGAGCTCCCCTAACCCTACAGTAAAGTAAGAATGCACATACCAAAGGAAGAGAGGGACTATTAAGAGTAAATCTTTTTATCTCCAGGTCTCCCTTCCCTCTTGTTCAACACAGAATCATCTTCCTGCTGTAAGAGAGACAGAGGCACATGTTGCAGTGGAATGACAACAAGGGGCCCACTGTTAAATGAGTTAATGCCCTTGATGTGACGAAAGGAAAATTTGCATCACTTTCTCATTCCTGGGACATTAAACTGCAAATACTTTTTTGGGTACCTGACAATGACCTTACTTTACCAAAGACTAATTTTGAAAACAACAGTTAATTACTGCAAGGGGTGTGAGCTATATGAATCTACAGGTGCAGCTCCGACATGCAGAGGCTGAAGACCCACTTGTCCGCCTCTCCACAGGATCTTACTGGACTCTCATCCATATTTCTTAACATTAACTAACTTTACCTCTCAATCAATATACCTTTTGGAAACTTTAGCTTGCCAATCAGCTCATCAACCTTTTTTCATGGTTGAACCCTAACTTACTCTTGGAGAGGGATAACTTGCCAGACAAAAACAGGTTGTGAATGATACCTTCTGGTACAACTTATAAATCTTAATTAACAGTAATAGTTAAATTGTCTCCAGCACTGTTCCAACATATTTCATTTATTCTGCATCCTGATATGAGTTTGAGTTGGAGCTAGCAGAGACCTCTGACCTGTCCAACAATCACTTGCTGTGTATCTATATACTGATTTCATGACATAATACTACTTTAGAATAAATATGCACATTTAATAAGACTTGAAGGCATATACTGTATGACACTTGTGAAAATCGATATTTTCCCATTATAACAGCCACTTAGATCATTACCTGAACTTTGAACTTGGACTCAGGGGTGGCTTTCTCACAGCCTTGTCCCACTCTTTCATCATGTCTTGTAACCTCGGTAGTTGATTCCTGCATCACAGGTGAATTTTCCGTATGCTTTCCATTTTGCTTGTGACTCCCTGTATGTCTGTGGGATGAGGAAGTCATGGACTTACTGGAATTCTCCGTGCTAAAGAGTAGCATTACGCCGAAAACAATGAAGCCTTAATCATTATTAAACACTAAGTTCATACCTGTTTTCATGTTGATTTGTCGTTTCAGAGCTCAACGAACACTTTGAGGTGGACGGCTCCATATTTGAATTTGAACTCCCACTGTTCCAACCTGGAATTGAAGACATGTCTTTTTCTGGGGGTTGTTTTACTGTGATATTTGCCTGAGCTTTCTCCACTGTTATTCCCTCACCATGTGAGCTTTCCTCTGTATCTTCTAAACAAGATTTAAATTTCTCTGTTATTTCGTCTTCTTCCTTGTCAGAAACAGAGTCACACCCCTCTCCCTCTGCAAAGGCCCAGGCGTGAAGGGCAAAATCCACATCACCCTCCAAGGATTGTCCTCCTAATATGTCTTCATTCTGCCCTCGATCAAATAACAGACCTTGCTCTTTTATCACAGTTGCAAAATCACGAAAGCCCAAGGGGCTACAAGATTTGCAACTAAGGTCAAGGTCTTCTTCTCTGGAGCTCTTATCTTCGCCTTCAACCTCTGGACCATCAGGACAAATGTCCTTGGTGATGGCGTCAGGGGGCTTTTCATCTGTAGCTGTGCTGCAGGGTTCTGTGCGTCTACACGTTTTTGTACTAGAAGGATCTATGCTAAGGTCTTCACTAATGACATCATCATTCCAGAGAGGGATGTGCTCATGACTCAGCAGTATGGAAGGCTGCAGTTCCATTTCATTGCTGGGGTAACCTAAGTAACATAACACAATTGGACTGACAATCAGCACACTGGATGAATAACAAACTATGTGCATGGTTTAAATAAAAGTTGACAATGTAACACAGATTGATAACATACACATCAGTAAATAAAAAATAAAGTAAAAATGTAAAGCCTACTACAGTCATATCTGGCAAGATACATTCATTTCTATTCATCTGTATTTTCTCATCAGCGTTGCAAGTTTATAGACAGTCAATATTATGTCAGGGCACACAAAATACGACAATAACTATAAGCACGTTGAAATGTCAATAGAAAAGTATGACAGAAGGTTCTTGGCTTTAGCGGAATAAAGTTAAACAGAACAAGGTCAGTTCAGCTATAAATTATAGTAAAAGGGAATCACAAAGTTTTCATTTGAATGAGGCTGTGAAAATGTAATCGGATATTTTAAAGGACTAGTGATGTAAAGCTGCACAGAGGTCCAGCGTGCGTGGATGCGTTGGCTGTTGTGTTAATAGGACCTCTTATGAAAAGTGCATGGAGGTGGTAACACTGGGATCTTCACACTGCCTCTGAGATGTGCTACTGTGTAATGCTGGAGAAGCATAAACAGGATATGCTCCAAGGCTTGATGACACTCCTGGCACTTAGCCATAGGCTGGGAGTTGAGGTGGGAGAGGGAGAATTGAAACACACTAAGTGCTTGCAAGAAATGACAAAAAAAATAAAGACAACGCAAAGTATAAACTGAGTAACACGACAAGACTGGCATGGATACGATGATGGAACGATGAACAGAAGCAGTGGGATTACTGAAAGGAGGGGGCCGAAGAGCCTGGTTTAGGGGCAGGGAAGGATGCTGTTTAGCGCAAGGGGGGCATTTTCAGAGAGAAAGGCCTTTAAGATTAAGCACCAAAAACAGCACAGACGATCTTCAATTACAGTATAAAAATAGTAAATAAATCAATAAATAAAAATTCAGTCTTGGCGACTGAACCAAGTCAGAAACATCAGAACTGAATCTGCCAAGTCCCTGCTGAAAAGCACTGTGAGGAAGCATGATAATATCAGGTGGTTTATTCTAAATTGCACTAGTCACATACAGTATTATATACAAAAGCTTGCCACAATACATCAAAGCATTTTCAATCTATTACTTAATGGCTAAATCCTGCAATTTTTGGTGTAAATGATATGCCAATTATGAATTATTAATTTGGGTTCTTTATGAGTGGAAAAATCCAGTATCTGCTTACTTGCAATTTGTAAAAGTATAAGTACTGTTTGTTTACTGTTCCTTGCAGTTTCTCTTTGCTCTCTTTCTCTTACCCGTCACTCTTAAACTGTTGCTGTTAAATAGTATATATATATTTTTCAACATATCCATTGATCATCTAGCCATTTGCCCTGGTCAGGGTTGCAAAAGATTTAAACATAAGCATTCTTAAAATGAATTTTATGGTCTAATAATAAATCAGGACACCCAAAGCCACCAAGAGGGAATGTCTTCATCTGCCCATTTTCAATAATCATTGATTCGATTTCATCATGAATGGGATGTCAGTTCACCACAGTACATGCACACAGGCATCCGATTTCTGAGAAAAATACAAACCAGAAGAACCTGAAAGCTACAGGCCGATGATTATTTCTACCAATTTCAAATTATAAGTAACATCAGATTTAGAGTTGACTTAAATGAGGCTAACCTTTACCATTAGCCTGCTCCAGGAACACAGCGTTGTCTTCTGCAAAACTTCGGGTGCCTGAAATGTTTCCGTAGTCAAATATTGGGCCTTCTAGTAGAGTCACAATATCCATTCGATTGACTTTGGTCAGCACGGCTGTTAAGGCGTCCGCTGAAACAGATAAACGTGCATTAACAATGTAATTATCTCAGCTCAGAAATAATTGTCTTATGTATACGTATCAAGGGCAAAATCTTAAACAACTACAAACATTTTCATTAACCGGGTCATTCACTGCTAAAAATACTTCAGAATACTTTTATTTTACTTACAAGTTTTTCTCAGTTTGCACCACTAGTTCACAGTTAAAATACACATTTAAAGATAAGAAGTTTAAAAATATTAAGTTGCAAAATAACTTGACGTCAATTATACAGTGACGTTTACCTTCAGTTTGAACCAACTGACCTTGTAGAGGTAGGAAAGGAAAAATTATGAGTCTATCTTTGCTCATACACACCAGAACAGAAAAATGCACTTACTTGTAGCATTTGTACCATCTCTGCCAACCCATTTCTTTAACAGCATGAAACTCTGAGCTGCCAATGAATTTGGGTTCTCCACTCTAATGTTATTTATTTCATCAACAGAAAAGTTCATTTCCCTGGCGAGCTCTGCAAGACAAATGTGTATTATTTTATAGACGTGCCTGTGTGATTTCTCAATGCAGTTGAATCTAATTTGAGTCTCTTTCCCAGTGTAACCACAAATACTAGAGGACAGACTAATTATGCATCAGACCAATCAAAGATCATAAAAGAAAGACCACTAAAACTTTATATGCATTTACAAAAACTGCAATTATTAATCAATAATAAACATTCAACCACTGCATCTTCCATAACACATCTTGTATAGGGTTGCACAATTCTAAAACTATTTTTTTATTATTAATTGCTCATCTATTTATTATCAGTCTATTTATAATTTTTCCCCTATAAAAGTATCTGCTTTATGTATTTCCTACCTGTCCAGCTCAGGCCTAACTGATCAGCTACAATAGCCATCCTAAGGTCAGTCCTCTCGCAGGGGCTCTGCGGTCCTGGCATGTAGAAGAGAAATGTGTTAAAACCCCTTTGATTTGGTTTATGCTTGCAAAAACAGATTTGTAAAACAGACTGCTTATTTTCTAGCCATTTAAAAAAAAAATACAAAATATTGAACTTGAGCTCTTTGAAATGAAGTTTATGTCAAGAGAAAAATTGACTTTTATCAAGTATTATTTATTTATGTTACATCAAACTACTAGGATAGAAAACAAAGATTCCAAAATGTTATGTGCTTTTTAAAATGGCAAGAAAGGGTAGCAATCATTGTAATGGAGACTACTGTACATGGCTAACAGGTGCTCAGAATATACTGATATTTATGTATTCCATGGAACTATGCAGGCAATATATCTCATGAAAAACTAAACATATGTCCCATTCCATAGAACTACAGAAGGTGATTTCACAGTTTAAAATGAAGCTACACATGCGGACAGACTGTGTATTCTGCTAAAGCTCCGTGGCTATGATTCTATATTAAACTGGCTAGTCACTCACAGGGATGGCAATCCAGAGCACCATAATTTTGGCATGCTGTAGTAACTGACTACTCGAGAAGACTCTTCAAGACAGCACACAGATGACAATGACAGAATGACAACTACAATTGTCACGCCACAGGCAATCACAACGACTCATGCACTAAGATCAACAAGTTGAAAATTTTACAAACTAGGCTCGATCTCCACGGCGGGGCTCTCAAAGGGCCCAGCAACCTGACTGCCTTCATTCCCAGTCCGCCTACTTCTCCTTCTCTCACTGCAGACCTTCCCAGCTTTCGCTCCTATAGGCTCAGTTTTCAGGTCTCTAGCAGACCTCGGTGTGAAAGATGGTTGAGAGGCTTCTGACAATGAGGTGCTTCTTGATGTGCTGTCTTCATCGGATATTTCTGACTGCATCTTTTTCTCTTCATCAGAAAGGCGGTCCACAATTTTTAATGTCTGTCCACTAATGCCCTTAAAGTACTCGATGGAGCATTTACAGACCTCATTTATGTGATTATTGTCTGGGTTAGAAACTGAACTGCTGCTTAATGTAGATTTCTTAACTGGCATCTTGGTAGGCAACTGCTTTGGTCTTTCTATTTCAGGTTTTAAGGACCTGGACACAATCTGTACTGGATTACTTGCATTACTCCTTTTAAACTCCTTTACTGGAATTCTAGATTTGGGTTCAACGGCTGCAAAAGGGTCTACTCTTTTCCTCATGTATCTATTTTTTTCTTCAGGTGTGACTATATGTTTTGAGTTCAACTTTCCAGCCGGTGTACTCTGCATATGGGAGGAAAAGCCAGATGCTTTAATTGGCAGTCTTGATTTTAGCTGTTTCACCTCTTTTTGCTTGGTCTCATTATTCTTTTCTTGCTCACAATCCATAACATTTCCCCTAACCTGCTCTGTTTCAGGACCAAAAAATGCCTCTATCCTACTAGCTTGTTGTAGCGATGGCTTTGAGGATGACTGTAAACTAAATACTATGCTGCCACATTGAATATAATTAGCTTGAATATTTGAAGACTCAAAGTTATTGTTGTTGTTGGAGTTCTCTGCAGGGAAATCTTTCCTAACAGCAGATTCTGCACTTCTGTGTTTGTAAAGCTGACTTTCTGCATCTATTTCTATTCCCATGTCCCCAGGAAATTTATTATTTGTTACATCCCCAGAACTAGCCTCTTTTTTTACAGCAATGGATGCTGCTATTCCCATTTTAATGGGAGTATGTGATTTAGAATCAGGTTTAGAAGCCATTACCATACATGAGGATGTCTCTGCTATGTTATCATCACATGATATGTCGAGACAATCAGTGCCAATCTCAGTTAGCCCACACTTGTCTGTTTTAGCGTCAGTGAGGGCATCTACCTTTACACTTGCAACTTTCTCCCCTATAAGTGACTGTGAGATAACTACCCCTGGACTTTTGACCCTTTTCCCTCTGTCCCCTGACTTCCCTTCAGAGGAATGCTCACCAATCTGAAAAAATTGAAGTCTTTCTTCAACAAAATCCCGCTTGCTCATGTCAATTGCACCACTGCGAGTCATCTCAAACATCTTCCCTTCGTGGAAGGGGAAAGGGTTTGGCTCGCTAGTTGGAGTACTTTCATCGGTTGGTGTTCTAGCAGGAGTTGTATCTGGTGTAGTTGCTTGGGATCTGTCCTCCACAGCTAATCCAAAAGGCTTAGGCTCTTCATCTTTTGTTTTACTATCAAAGTTTCCATCATCTTCACCTTTGCTGGACCAGGGATCAAAGTCCAAACCTTCTGAGGCAACAGTTTTGAAGGGAGTATTAAACTCCTCCTCTAGATGGTAGCTAAAGTAGCTATTTGAAAATCCTGGTCTGTCAGGGTGTCTACCCTCCAAAGAGTATACCGTTTCCCCATCTTTGCTAACTTCTGTTTTAATTTCTGCAGAATCACCATTTTCTTTTGTTTCCTCCCCTCCGTCATTTACTACCTTCTCCTCTTCCTCAATAACCTCAAGCTTTGTCTGGCTAAAGGAACGATCGCATGACTTTATGGAACTCTCTGCTGACCATCTACTTTTTCTACTGTCCCTGGGAAAACTTGCAGATTTTGAGCCTTGTTCACTTAATCCATCATCCTCATCTGGGAGTTCATATCCATCAAGGGAATCTATTTCTGTGGCATCTGTATCATGAGAAAACTCTGCAGTTGTGGCAATTGAACAGTCTGTAATGGATGGATCATTCCCATTCTGCTCCAATTCAAAATCATCTCCTTTTGTATCACCATTGCCGCCTGTTACTTTAGCTTGTCCATTCCTTTCCGGGTTCTTATTTTTGGACTGCTTTTCCTCATCCTCCTCAGGAATTTTAAAGGTGTACTTCTTAAAAGAGATGGGCTGAAAGACTGATTCGTCATCACTTGAGTTGCTGTCATCAGCTCCTGTGGGCAAGGGAGTTGGAGGCAAGACTCTAATAATAGGTTCCTCGAGAAGGTGCTTGTCATGCTCCTCTTGGAGGTTGACTTCCATCAATTCAGTGTCAGCCTTAGATGATGAAATGTAATTACATTGGTGTGATTCTTGGTCCAGAGGTGGTGGCGGAGGAAACTCAATATATGCAACTCTTTTCTCATTTGTTTTCCTTCCAATCTCATACTTTCGGGTTAGTGGCTCTGACTGTTTTGTCCTCTCTGGAGATAATTTGCCTTGCTCCTCTCCTTCTGATTCCTCAGAAACCTCTGGAATTGGACTGGTTTTTCCTGACATGAAACCAATGGTTGCATCTGGTATTCTAGAAGTGAGGTCATAGCTCACTTCTTCGGAACTAGGCGTTTCTGGAGTCTGAGGACTTCTGCCAGAACTATCCATAAAAGAAACTTGCTCTAGTGTGTCATCTTCAGGGCTGCCTTGGGGAGAAGACGTTTGTTTTTGTTTTACAGTATAAATTGTTCCCAGTGTCTCATGGACTGTGTGGCTTTCCTGACTGACTATTTTCTTGTAAGTTGCCTGCTGCCCAATAGCCGTTTCTTTCTCATACTGCTTGTCCACTTGAATACTGACATAGACGGGTAACGTTTTGATATCTGATGCTACTATTGGTGTTGTTTTGTCAGTATGTGTACTGCTATGATTGGTATGATTTGAATGTGTGTTTTTTGTTAAGCAATGTTCTAAAGAATCTGGAGAATTGATAGACTCACCCCTGGATGTAAAATTCCCTTTGTGTCTGTTTCTAGATATCTCAGAGGATATAGGAAAAGTGTTTGACTTTTCAGACTGACAAGTATTTCTGGCATTAACGGTCATCTTGACAGGAATATGAGATTCCATCTTTTTTTTAAAGGTATTTTTTGAAGCACTATCAGTGATCACAACTTCAGGGAAACTAACTGCTTCTGTTGAGGAACCCACTAAAAATTCTCCAGATGCTGTTCCTTTTTTTGAATCTTGGCATGCTTCTTTTTTGTAAGCTTTGAAAGCATCATGAAGTGAGGTATCATGTTCAGATTTAAAACTATATTGTTGACTATCCAATGTCATTTTTTTCCCCCTTTCACCCATTTCCTTGTTATTTGCTTCCTGCAAGTTTTGAGAAGAATGGTTGTCTGTTATGTTTTTTAATTTTTCACCTAATTGTTTGGGAGAGACTAGTAGTCTAATTATATCGGGATCTTTTTCAATCATCGTCTGGTTTTCACGGTCTTCCTCTGAAGTCTGCCTTTCTACTAATTTGGTAGCCTTTGTTCCACCAAAAAATTGATACACAGGAAGTTTACTTTCTCTCAGTTTTTTTACTGGAGGTTTTGTATTTGCCGTTTGAAAAGTTGTCTCTTGCTTTTGAGCGTCAGATTCAAACTTCATCTTTGCACAGCTCACCTTGGACGTTTGTAACTGGAAAGACTTGACGTCCTCACCTTTCTGGTTGTCTTGAAGGTCATTTCCTTCCTTAGTTTTTCGATCATTACTTCGGGACAAAATGAGTCTTTCTGGACTGCTTGGCAAGCTGGCACACTTCCTTTCATTATTCCATTCTTTATTACTCATAGCAGTCTTAAGCTGTGTTTTTTCTGGACTGGTGCAAGCAGAACTAGGTCCAGATTGAGTTTCTCTCGGAACCCTCTTGAGAGCCTTCTTCTCTGGGGACTGCAGCTCACCGTTTAGTTTTTCTGTTTTGTCACGAAAAAACTGTGAAACCTCATTCAGTTTCTCTTCAGCTTCCTTTACAGTCTGATCTACTCTGTCTTCAAAAACACGTTTTTCTTCTCTTTTGTTATAATTGTTTTCATTGAACTGCATACAGACAGTACGCTTCGAAGTACCAGGCTCAACACTGTAATGCAACACTGTCAGTTTGTCAACGTGATCATTTGTATTGACAGGTTTACCTGACTTATCAGCCACTTTTGTCGACAAATTCATGATAACTTCTTTACTGGGAATACCAGACATTCTCTCAGTATAACAACGACTTGAGTCCAGCATACCTGCACTCTGGATGTTGCGGGAATCAGCCACTGAAACCTCGTTGTCAGAATGAGATATGCCTAATTTCTCAGAAAGTACTTTCTCAGCAAATCTATAGGACTCTCTCCTCAGTTCTGATGACTCATCATCATGCCTTAGTAACTTGAAGGATTTATATGAGTCATCAATGACAAGCTGTGCAGAATCTGGACGACTCTCTTCTTCCTGAGACACAGGGGTATTAACTCTGGATGATTCTACGCACGTCGGAATACATTCTTCAGCAGTAAATTCATTCTCTGCCTGTTGTGCTTCAACATCATTGTCCATTTTGTCTGATAATTCTTTTATTCTATTATTCGCCTTGTAAATGTATTTCTCCTCTGGAGGTTGACGTGTTTCACGAATGATAACCTCTGTTGGTTCTGCCTTATTTCCCTTTTCAATGTGAACCTCGATGATTCTTTCAACTTTGGGTTTTAAATTATCTCTTTCATGAAGAAGTTGAGATGTTTCATTTCCTATTTGACAGTAACTAGCAGCCTTATTCTCAAATAAGCCAGTTAGCTCTCTAGAAGAATCCCAACCAGACTGGAATGCTTTCACTATGTCTCGAACTGACTTTGTTTCATCAGTCCTCTCAGAATCATTGCTGGGGGGCTTGTGATAAACCATTCGGGTTGTAGTTGTGATGTGAGTTTCTTCTTTAACGCACATACCTTTGCTCACAACAAGGTCCTCATCTGCAGTGACTTTAAGCTGAGATGACTTTACTTTGTCTTTAATGAATCCATTAACTTTTGTCTCTTTCTCTACACCAGAAGGTATAGTCAGTACATTTACTTTCTCCTTAAAGGGATCCAGCTCTTCTTCAGGGGGCTCATAGCTTCTTATGACATGAACAACCTCAGTTCGTGTCTCTGTGATAACAGGCGGAATGGGAACATCATGAAAGAGAGGCTTGGGTCCACTTCCTTCTGCACTCTGAGGGGCTGAGGGGGTTTTTTCACTTCTCGTTTCAAAACCACTATCTGAAAGGGGGCTCTTATCATGGTCATGAGATATGTCATCGGGACATTCTATGACTTCAGTACCAAATAAAACATCCGTAAGTTTACAGAACTCCTTCTCGGAAGCCGAAGACCGCATATTTGAGGGTGGCATTTTAAGCTTGTGTTCCTGTAATGCTATTGCAGGTTTAAGAATGCGCTTTGTTTTTTCTTCTCCTTCTTTTTTCAGTTCATCATATCTATGTTTTACATCTGAGATTTTCGAAAAAGAACTTCCGCCAATGTCATTTGTCAAGTAGTCGACCACTTTGGCTAAATTAAAATCTCTATCAGATATGGATTTCTCTCTTATTTGATAGGAATCTGTGTCATAACTTTGAGGATATCTCCAGCCATTTTGTTGGGCTTCCTCTATTTCATCCTTTGTAAACTCCACCCAGCCATCTTCCATTGTTTTAGTTTTAATAACTCTGTTTTCAGTCCGTGAATCTTTTGTTAAGATTTCACTAACTTTAACTAGATCTTCTTTAACCTTCTCCACCAGTCTGTATGGTTCATCATCTTCAACTGCCAGCTGTTTTCGATTGTCTGAGATATAGTCTTTAGCTGCTGAATTGGATTCAGTCTGTAAAATAGCAGACATCCTTATTAAGTCTTCCTTCATTTCGGCAACATCCTTTAGTATTTCCTGGCTAGTTGTTAATGAAGTAGAACCCGTAGATTTTAGAGGAATGGCAGAGTTTAACATGGAAGACTTGACTGGTGACAAAGTTCTTGAAAATGATGATGTGTCTTGGGTATGTACTGGTGTGGACATGTTTTTTATAGGGGATAGAAGTGTATTTGTGGCTTTGGACACATCAGGGAATTTTGGTTCTGGCAAAACGTTTATAACAGAATACACTGGCACAGTTATTGTACTTGATGTGACAGATGTGGTGGAAGAAGCTGGAGACCTCAAAGAGGCATAAATGGAATTCGAAGCAGGAGATCGAACTGACTGGTATGAAGATGCTGAAGAAGACGTGGATTTCAATGTGCCATAGCCTGATGCAGAGCATGAATTAAAGGTTTTTTCCGCTTCCTCAATGGCCGCACTGACACATGTTGTGACAGCATTATTAGTTGCTTGTATCCTTTCTTGTAAACTGTTGGAATTCCCTAAGTGTAGAAAGTTTGATGACGGGTTGCGGTATTTAACAGGTGAAACTGATCCATTAATCAGAGCAGCTGCTGAGGGAGGAACTGAGGATTTGACGGATAGAGAAAGAGATGGAGCCAGCCGTCTGCTGGATGCTCCAGCAGAATCTGCCGTAGGTTTACCAGAGGACAGGCAAGATAGGGGCTTTACAGAGGAAGACGTCATGAGTCCCGTAGGGGACAAGGTAGACTTAAACGGCATACTTGAACTGTACACGTTTAGTGCAGATTTTGGAGAAGCAGGTGGTGTCATAGTAATTGAAGACCTCTCCAGCAGAGACCCTGCTGTTGTAATAGATGAAGTCCTTGAAGACAATGACGATGTGAATCCTTTAACATATACAGAATCAGACAAAGATTTTACTGGGGAGGACATCAGAACAGTGGAAACTGGTACAGGGTATTGAGCTTGCTGAACTACAGCCTTTATCGGTGATGAAGTAGTCCTATACGACCTGATAGGTGATGCTATATCGTTAACTGACTTGATGGAAGAAGCAGTTGAAGCTCCTAGGGTGGACTTGATTGGAGATGCAGAGGTAATTGACCACACTGACTTTAATGGTGAGGCAGATGGTGTGTTGGACGACGAGCTGGAGAGGGAACCAAATCCATATCTTGCTTGCCCAGAGGTGGTAACAGGAGCCGTCGACCACGCCTGGTAAGATCTTGGTGAAAAGATTGGTTTGTAAGAGCAACCAGCAGGCACTGTTCTTGCCGCACTTCGGTCAACTGTTTCTTCATTGAGTAAATCAAAACACAGACAGAAAATCAACAAAAAAAAGTTTGGAAAACACAGACCAGAGAAAAGAAATTAATCAGCAATTATTGCATCATCCAAAACTCAGGACAGAATAACATCTCTTAGAATTAAAGTAATAAGAAATAAGAAAGGATAGAATAAGAATGATCATTTTTTATCCATGGTTCAATGTAAAACTCACAATAAAAAGTGCAGACATCAATCAAAACAAGGCAACGATCAACATGGAGCATGAACATGCAGAAAATATGCTTCTAAATTTTGCTTTATTGACTCAGTCCCTTGCCTTTTATCTGTTTGATCTTTTTCTTTGAAAGTTTGTCTGCTTATTCTGCCTGTTTTGAAATAAAATACTAGATATATAATACCATTGCAATATAATAATACAGATTTTGTCATTTTTCAGCATTTCACTTCCAAACTTCAAGAAGCGCTAAAAAGCCCAAGAACCATTTCCCATACATTTTCATTGAAAATGTAACAAAATGCTGCACAGTAACAAAGCCAATAAAAATAGATTTTTAAAGATAAGGACAAAATACATCATTATACACTTCCAATGAGTAATTTTTAGTTCATATAACAATGGCGCCCATCCATTCATACACCCATCCACCCAATCACCCACCCACCCATCAGGGAATGTTGAAATAAAGAATAACGGCAACTTAAAATTTCACAATAAATCATGCAAATGATAGAAACAGGAGTCTAGATTGACATTATGCAAAGTATCATTTGTAGGTAATATATGATGTATGAACTATTTCCAGGCATGATATCTGTATGGATTTCATAAAGTCAAGAAGTCCCACTCACTCATCGCTGGCTCGGCCAGATAGCTGTAGCGCTTACGTAAGGCTAGTGATGCAAAATTGTGGCGTCGCTCTGGTTTTTCAGTCTGCAACAACAACAAGAAAACTGTAGATCAATTGGAAAATGGAGAATGCATTTTCGTAGCATAAATTCATTTACTGATAGAAGGGGTTTTTTCGGCCTTTTGTCTGAACTGACTCAACTTAGATTCTCAGCAAAGAATCAGCGTTTGAACTACATCAGTTTCCTACAGTGACTTACTTAAATTATTATAAATTATATTATAATGTCTTAAATGATGATAGCTACTATTAGGGCTATTGGGAGTCTCTAGCTGATGCAACTTGGGGGATGTTTCACTGCTTAAGCTCTTGAAGGAAACTTGATCTTATAAAACGCTATGAAACTATTAAATTTGGGAAAGCTTTGGTTAGGCATTTAATTATGTTTTGAGTAGTGTACCCCAAACATATAAGGCCTGTTATTTTCATTGCATGATTTTGCATACAACGAGGGAGCACATCTATTTAGTTTTAGCAGGAATGTGTGTAATTTGAAATTCATCTACAAATAATGGGGGAAATCAGGATGATCCTAGAGGGAACAAAATCGACAAGAGAGGTGGGAAACAACCTTTCGCTCTTGAGGATGGTATGAAAAATTTCAATAACTGAAGAGAGGAGCAAAAAAACAAAATAAAATAAAGCTGAGTTACACTGATAATAAATTATGCCTCCTCTTTAAATAACAATGCGATGTTTCACATATATGCAAAAATCAACAATAAAGTATTAAGGATCTATGTGAAAAATAACATACAAATCAGGGGCTTTGAGCATCAGTATCATCATACTGCATCCCATAGCTTTTTATATCTATGTTCAATTTTCTCTGAGGAACTAAATTTTCGGATTGACTTAAACAGAATGTAGGAGGACAGTATTTTCAAAATAAATTTCAGTGCTTTTGAGTGCTATTTATGACACTTTAACAAAGAAAAAAATATATACAGTATATATGTGTACTCGACCCTGTAAAGGAGTCCTATCCAGCTATTCTTCTCTCAGAAAAGCCTAAATCCCATTTTTTGTACTGAATTAGCAGTTTCAAACATAAAAAAAACACAGGAAAGCAAAGTCTTCCAACATGTGTCTAAATGAGAAAAGTTACAGGGAGCAGATGTCACACCAATAAGTGGCCAGTATGACGTGTTTTAAAGTGCAAATTTAGAAAGCTTTTTTTTTTGTACACAACTGGCACTTTCAAAAATCCACGGAAAATCAGTGAAGCATAATTTTAACAGGGAAAGAAACCAATGGCATAGTTCTGAGTAATTACTACTGTAGCTCTTTCCAGGAACATCGGCTGCACTGGTAGAAACAAGTACAGCATTCCTGTTACTACACTTTTGAAAATATATTGTTATAATTAACTGCCTCTGGGACCCAGAAACTATAGCTTTCTGGCCAAAAGACCCCGATTAGCACCATGGACAGCAACCACCTGGCTAAATTTCAGAACCTCTGTTTTGAGCCAGTTATCAAGAGCTCCCAAAGAGGCTCCAGCTGACTCATGTTTGGTAAGGCTACTTCAGCAGCCAATAGGAAGCCTCCCTCAGTGGCAGCTGGGCAGTGGATATCTACTGCCTCCAGCTTGGCACTGGAATACCTGCACTGGTGCAAATCATGCCACAACACACCCTGACTGGAGATGAATACAGGCCAAAACCTACTATGCGATGCAACCTTTCACCCGTTCCCCTTGCTCATCCATCGTTGCACTAATTTTTGCTAATTAATACTGCTTTCCTGTGAACCTGTCTATGTGCCTTTATTCCTGTGATTCATCACAACATTTAAATTCAGTGTGCCTTATCTCTGTAGGCTGCAAACTGTCTTTCAAGGACTGCATAATCCAACACTTTTAAACCTTCCACCCAGCATATAAATCTGATTGCTCTTTTTGAATTTGGGATGATGTTGCAAGTACGACTGGAACTGCAATTCGAGTTAATGGTATGATTACTCAATCAGTTTTTTGGCAACATCTCAACATTTTCAGATATTTAATGACTAAGAGGGTAGCTGAAAGATTAGTGCCTTCAACAAGCTTTTCACATCTGATGATGAAATATGCAGCCTAATGATGGCTGACAACACATAGTTTGAAAGTGTTTGCCAGTCTATACCTTAACCAAGCCTGCATGGTTGATGAGGACAAAATCTAGGGCAGCAGAAACTGACAATACTAAATTGGGAGAAAATGTGGGAAAACACTCATACTTTAAGTTTCGGACCTAAAGTTTTAGTCTATATGTATTACCAAACGCACAAATATCCATCTTTGTAACAAAGAACACAATGGACAGCCTTACAGCACAATAAGCTCACCAGTAAAAAGAAAACCAGCACACTGTATGTCATGGAGTAATGATATTACCTCATCATCTTGTTCTGACTCCATTTCCTTTTGGTTTCCAAGATGCATAGGAGAGAGTAATATAATGGACAGCAAGGGGAAAGAATCATCAAGGTGTGAAAGGGCACAACATGAGCTTTTTAAAATGCCACCACAAAGCCAACGAAACAAAGGTCTAACATTTGCCACCACAGAACAAATGAAAACGACATCACTGCCTTTGTAGTGCACATAGCTTTTGTGCACAGAACCAAGCGCAGGAACAAAATCAAAATCCTGATTTGGAGGGAAATGCCAAAAACATCCATAACAGGCTCAAACAGATAAAAGACACATTCAGACAGTGTAAGTTTAAATAAATCTTCTACACTGGCATTTTTTGCCATACTTTTTATATATATATATATATGATAGTGATATGATACATGACTGTAATTTCATATATTCACTTACCTTTTTATGTGTTGGCAATGTGATGTTTAAATTGCAGATAGCAGTATGTGGAAGACCTTTGCTAGTTTTTGGCTCTCTTAAAAATGAAAGTCGGCCACAAGGCTCTTGGCTATTGTCTCTGACCTGGGGGAGTTAAAGTTGACTTGAAATGTTTGTAATTAGCTACTTCAAACAGATTGAATGGTATATTAAACTATAAGGCAAAGTCAGTCTGCCACGTGCAGAGAAGTCAGAAATAAACTTTGCTGTGCTAAAATTACATAGAACAGCTTTGACACACTGAATATGATTTTCTTAAATTGTCTGTATAATCAAACAGGTTGTTTACGGTTTTCTTCAATGCAAATGTACAAATACTAATAATTTACCCTGCGAGAAAGTAGATTTCAGTTACTAAGGCATACAAAGCTGAATTTGGACATCTCCATAATAATAGTCTATTCAAAGTACCCATATCCAATACAAAATAGCAACCTGTCTTATTACCTTCACGCAGAATGGAAGTCTGTTCTCTCTGAAAGCATAAAAACTAAAAACAAGTTGCTGTCCAGTTTTTGCCAGGGGAGACAAATTGCCATAGCAGTCAGCAAAAATTGGTTTGCCTTCCAAAACCTGTAAATAAAAGAATCATCTATAACTAAGAAAAAGTAATTTTTTATACACTGTCTCCAAAAAGAATGCTATGTATAAAATGTGTAGAAGAATGCTATGTATATATAAATGCAAAGATGTGTGAGTATATAATTCAGTATTTCATGCAAATATTAAATAATGTAAGATGGGTTTTTAAGCATGATTTTATGTCTTAATGCTGTCTGATAGTTCAGTGCTTTGTGAAGAGGCCGTGTGTATCAGAATAAACAATAAAGAACAATGTGTGTCAGGCCAGTAACAAACTAAACAAACCTCAATGTCTTTACTCCTAGCCACCTCCTCAAAATTCTCCTGTTGTTCCAGAGTTTTGTCTACTTTGTCATCAGTCATACAAAAGCACCGTAGGTAGGATTCCATGGGGTCATTCATCTTGGCAAACACCACAAACTTCGCCAAGTACGGCACACAGATCAATTCCCTGTAGAGCTGAGATGCTAGACTTACAGTTTCCGCAATATGAAGGCAGTCGGCAAGCCAGAACCTATTAATGAATTGGAAAAGGGTTGTGTGACACACAATAATTTAAGGTGCATAAGTGCCAAGAATGAAAATTCTCCTATCACCTAAAGTGGTACTTTCAAGCCTGGATATAATTTTGTTTATTTGTTTGTTGTTTTTTTAATGCATTGCAGTATACATTAGACATAAGTTTGGGGTCTCAGAATAATATCAGAATTGTGGTAGCAGCCAACTTCTACCTCAGTACGTGATTTCCAGCTGGTTCTTGTACAAATTAATTTGTGCCCATTAAGCATTTTTGCACATTCTTGATTCTTTACTCAGTTTTTCTGGTTCAATGCCTTACCTTGCAGATACGTTTGTGGTAAAAGACACCGAGTCGGTTACAATAGAGAGAGGAGTGGTGCCGGTAATGTCTTCCCACTGAGCTGGGGAAGTCCCTCCTGAAAGGAAATCATTAAACAGAAAAAGCTCAAGTGTGGATTTGCTTAAACACTCAATATATGACCACTTATCTGACGAATGTTTGCCATTTACCAACTATACATACAGCTTATCAAACACATGGTTATAGTCAACTGAATATCAGTTATTTAGTTATATAACTCAAATAACTAGTTAGAAGCGTTTCATAGAAATACTGCTTGTGCTGCATTTTTCATTAGCAACTTGTCAACATATGTGAATGTTACAATGAAGAAAAAGAGCTTTTAATGAAAACATCTGTGTTACCAAATTGTAAAAGAAATGTATATGTAAAGTAAGTAATGTTTGCTCACTTATTGCCAAACAAGCTGCCATTATGACTGAAAGGCGAATGTTAAAGCGGTAATATTTTATAATATAATGTACATGAAAACTACATGTCAGACTTCACATGGTTGTGATCAGGTATCCCCATTAATCCTAAAAGGTATTAAGTTCCAGTTCTGCAGAAGACAAGGGCAAATTATTTCAATACCTATAAGCATGATATGATCAGTGGTCTATAACCTGTAAGTCTATGATCACGGCTGCGGATTCACGTGCCTGTTATGCTGCACAGAAGCCGCAGGCATGGGGTGGGCCCCCCTCTGTCACCATGACTCCTCAGCCATGAGGAACGTGGGACAGGGATGGTCATTGTGATTGGCTTGTGGAATTTCCTTCTCCTCGGCTCCACAGTTACAATAGGGCTGAAGGCAGCCCTGCTCCCCATAACGTTCTTTATCAGGTCTTCTGGGACGGGTTGGGCCTGCATCCAGAAAACACATTATGTCCAACTCACAATGTAAATTTTACACACAAAGGCAATAATTTACACTGAAGTGTCAAAAAGAGAAATGGATAATGAGTGACATTTTTTTTTTTAAACATATTAATCTTGAAAAAGTTTCAAACCTGTAGGCCAACTCGAATCCTTTTGGTCAGTGCCCCCGGTGGGAAAGACGCTTGGACCTTTGGAACCGTTACACTGGACAGAACTCCACCCTCTGGACCAATGTGATTGCTTTCTTGCTTGATCCGGGACACCACCGCAAAGTACTGGGGAAAATCCCTGGTAACAATCCGGCAGATGCGTTTCTTGTCCAGCTCATCTGTGCTGTCCAATTCTTAAAAAGAAAAGAAAAAAAAACCACCCTGTAATTAAGGAGCATCCTCCACAGTCAGAACACATGATGATCATTCCTACTTAGCTATAATCGCACCTTCATCCATTCCGTTGAGAAGCTTGCGGAGTTCCTCTGCTCTGCAGTCATAATGGTGCTCTTTCCACGTGTCACCATTCTCGCTTCGAAGAATAATCAGCTCTCTCTCCTTCCCTCTCAAAGAGCCAAAGTGGGGAATCTCCACAATAACAGGTCTGGAGAACCACATAATCCTTAAAAGCATGACTAACACCAAAGATTGCAAAATACTGGTGATATTTTGATGCTCACTCCTGATAATATCTAACTTACTTCCTTCATAATAATCGCAGGGGGAATTTGCAATGGCTACAGCTCAGATCTAAATACTTTCAGCTGAAATTTCCTTTACAGAGGTAGCTGCGTAATTGTTCTGAACAATTTACAAGTAATATTTTAATTATTTGCTTTTGATACTATAGACAAAAAAAAGGATTAATACTGTATTCATATACAGTAGATTCCTGAATAATATGACTGTACTGTTTCTGCAAATAGCACAATAATTATTACTATTATCTTTTTCTGTTTATCGGACAATTAGATATCAGCATAATAGTGATCTGTAAAATGAAATCCATTTTTATGCCCATAAGTGGTGTGGATCATAACCGAACACAGATCATCTTAATACCGTAGCAAACCTTATTGTATTTTACCATTGTTGAATGAGAGTCATCGGTCTTCAGTGACATAATACCCAAAATACACAATATGAGTGAAACTCACCCGAGGAACTGCGCCCCCGCTGGGCCCACCTCCACCAGCCGGCTTGCCAGCCCTTCTCCTTCCACCATGGGGGGCAGGCAGGCTAGCTTATGCTTCTTCACCAGGCGACATGTGATGCGCGTGGGTGCTGTGCACTTGCGTGGAGGGATGACGATGCGCAGGCCATTGTGGCGGCTGCCCCGCATGGAGCCCCCCCGGGCATCAACCATAAAGCTCACCAGGAACCTGCAGGGCATCACATTACGGCCGGTTCTATACAACTTACTTTAAAGCGTAATGTACAGTAAAACCGGTCTAAGTCGACACTCGCGGGACCAGCTTAAAAGTGACGACTTAGACATGTCGCCAAAGTGTCTCGTCAATTCTCTATCTCGCCGTTTTGTCGACTAGTAAATATAACTCGCCGTTTTGCCGACTTATAAAATCGACACTTCGGCGACTTATGTCTATCTCGCCATTTTGCCGACTAGTAAATCGGGACTTTTGCTTGAGCGTCGACTTGTGCACATTGACGAGTTACAAGCCGGCGACTTAGACCAGTTTTACTGTATTTCTTAATTCATATGAATTATGTTTCATGTCCATGTCTATTAAATTCCATAATACAATCTAAAGAACATATACTACCATGAAATAGTGTTTTCCTACATTTGATTTTGAAATGTCGCTCAAATCTGAACTTGGAGAATTTTTTGTGGAAAAAATATGTTACTGCACACGTAAGTAAGCAGTCAGATTCAGTTTTGGCAGCCCAGCACAATACAAGTCTAATTTCAGTCCTAATCAGATTGAAACTGTGAATATACATTTTACAGAGGTACATCATCAAATGATCAAATTGCTGCTATAACAATTAACATAACATAGGCTTACAGAAGCCTGGATGTATTTATAGTGACAGATGAATATCACCTGAAGTCATAAAATTAAGGGCAGTAGAAAAGCTGCTGAACGATTATTTTTAATTATCATATCAATATTATAAAACTTTATTATAACCATTACCACAACTGACTGCGATGATGAACCACAACCATTAAAGCAACTGAGATACAAGAGAGTGACTTACTGATAACCAATGTTTAACAAGCAGATAAATAAATCATTATTTAAAAATACCAAAAGACACTGCAGAAAAATGAAACCAAGGTTTATATGATAGTTAGTTTGAGATTAACACATATGACATGACCAACAAATTATCAATATGAAAGGTTTTCAGTTTCTCAAGACCTTGTAACAGCTTAAATGTAAAGCCTAAATATCAGGTCATACTGTGCAAATACATGAGAAGAGTGTCATCCACTTTTGCATTTAACTGAAGGAGATAATTATAGTAAATTCTAATTATAATATTAATCATACTCATATTGCTGCAGTTCTATGTATATCCACATAGACCACTGGGTGACTTGGTTTCTTATAAGGCAACTAGCAGTCACTTACCCTGAGTGGATGGGACTGGAGACGAGATTAACATTTTCGAGGGTTTCCGCAGCCCAGCTGTAGCGTCTGATTGAGTCGGCGTCATACTCCCTGGTTACCGCCAGATGCTGTGAATCAGACTCTTGCTAAGTCAAGATTCTACAGAAAACAGGCTGAAAGGTCAGCCCCATGGTCAATACTATCTGACTTATCAGAAACATACTTCTTCAGGTCAATCTGAAAACTAAACTATGATTTTTGATTTACATAAAGCAACGTTTAACTTTTAAAACCCATCACCTCATTACAGAATACTGCACCGACGACTAAATAAGAAATGAAATAGGTCTTATAGTCAACCATGCAGTTGTCATTCAGCAGTGCATCGTATACCTTATTCTGAGGATCGACAATGAAGGAAAGGTCTTTACTGGCACCCAGGAGCTTTTGAAGAAAAAAGACATTAAACAAAAAGTTCTTAAAATTTTAGGTAATAGGCATAAAGACAGTGAGTAGCAGGACCTCAAGTTTCCATAAGTGCAGAACACCAGTGCAGTACATCAGTGCAGTACACCAGTGCAGTACACCAGTGCAGTACACCAATTCACTTCATATTACAAATTTCACATAATTAATGTTTCATGAAATACTTATTCCCCAAGCATATAAAATCTTAACAGAATAAAAAAATTACAGAAATCTTCAAAAAAAATATACGTTAATATACTGTACTTGTTACAAGGCTCCTCAGTAACACACAGAATAGAAATGTGATACTTTATTCTTTACTATGGGGGAATTGTCTTTTTGTCTACCCCAACTTCATCCCCATGGGACAGATAGACACATATACAGTTTGGGGGTCGTCCCGTAGGATCAGCAAGCATCCAGCGACTCTGGAGTAACCTGTTGAGGTGCCTCGCAAAAGGGCCCAACACAGACCTTCTAATCATGTTAAGCCACAAACCACCCACAATAGATATATTCTATATATATTATTATAGGATACCATTCTAAGATGTACAATATCTATAACAGGGTTATTCAAATCACGGCCCTCGAGGTCCGAGCCTTTTCTAGCCTTCCTTTTCCTGTGAGCCAGGTGTGAAGCCTCTGACCAATCAGAATCAGTAATTATTAAACTAACTACCTGGGAGAAAACAAGGCCTGGATTTGGAATCGAGGTCCAAATTTGAAGAGCCCTGATCTAATTAAGAAAAAAAAGTCTTCCTGCAATTAATGACCATTCAAAATAACAATTCCATAATCTCTCTGAGTTCTAAAAAAACAGAAATTGTTTTCAATGTTTTGAAAGCTCTTGTTTAGGTCATAAATCAACGACTAAGAAAGCTTCAAGCTGTTGCAGCCAAATTTGTATCATCAATCTTCCACAGCTGCTTATCCAGTACAGGGTCATTTATGACCCTGGGGCCCATTCTAGATAGAATAGCAGCGCATGGGACACCTTGAATAGGATGCAGTCAATTGTATGACATACATACACACTAAGGGCAAATTAGAGCCACCAATGCAAAAAATGCATGGTTTTGTACTGTAGAAGGAAACTGAAGTACCCAGAGGAAACCAGAGAACACACAAATTCAACACATACAAGCATTACAGTGCAAACCATTAAGTCACTGGACCACCACATTTTTTTAATGCCATTTTTAAAGTAGTCCCTATGTTTAGGTGTGTACAGTGGCACACAAAATTTCAGCTGCAAATGTAAATTTACAAAAAAATTTATTTCTTTCAGGAAAAAAAAAACATTGAATGGACTGCAGATCATGTTTGACAATCATAATAGTATTGGTGTTGTAGGAGGGCTGGCAACCTGTTTCCCTGAATTAACAGTCACTCGTATGTCACTAATTTATAAATAAAGGTGATTCACAAATTTAGTTACACTGGACTTCCTTACGACTAATAGGAAGGAATGCAACTAAGAAACAAACTGAGCATACCTGATCCTTAGTGGGCGCCAGAATCTCCTCGATCATCATGCTGTCCCGTGCAAAAGAGCTCCTGTTCAGGGTGTTGGACCTATCTGAACTGAAGGAGCGGATTCTGTTGTATGTATAAGGTATCACATACATTTGGCAACAGTAAGGCTGCTTCATGTAACTTCCAGGGACTGGTGCACCACTAAAAAACCCACATGATACAGTAGAGATTGTTCTATGATGTTAATAAAAAAAGGTGAAGAGGAATGTGCAGTGTGGAAAAGTGGACAAAGTCTAAATTAGATTTATAACATAAAGTACATACAAAAAGGATGTGTGTGTCTTTCCTTGGACTGGACATTTTGCAACTTCACAATAAATATTTTAATCTAGCTTTTTAAACAATTTTAAAGCCTACTATAGATTTCTGAGAACAAAAACACACAAAATTGTTTTTTTTTTAGTGAATGTGACAATGTAGTAGTCATGTTTACTGATTCTCAGAAATAACTGCTGAAAAGACATTAACTGTATCTGTACTGGCCTACGTTCATATAACTGAGCTGAAGTGAAACAAATCAGAAGATTTAAAACAGTTATGTTTGATAAAGCTCATTTTTTCAGGAGCTATAGAAGCCAGGTTTTGTTGATGCCAGGCCAATACAATGGAAAGGTACACACATTTAACTTTAGTACTTAAATTAACTGACTTATTAATTAGCTACCTTATCCCTGGAAGCTGCATGATGCACAACAATCATATAAAATGTTCCCGCTAAATAAGCAACTTAAATCTAATGAAGCAGAAAGCATTTCACCTTTTCGGTAGATGATGAAGGTGGTTTAACTGTTATTTTTCCATGGATTACCTTTGTTAAATGATCATCACTTACTAAATATTTTTGCTTGATTAAAGAAAAAAGGTGAATACTTGGTTAATGCTGTAAATAATAGAAATAATTTAAAAAATGCACATCACAGAAGAATGTTAGTGGAGTTTTAATGGGCAGGGAAGCAGCCAGGCTGGTAGAAAATAGACTTAGTCCCACAACGATATTCCGCCCTCTTACCTGACTCTAGGGCTACAACAAGAAATTAGGTAGAGGGGAAAAGAAAACAGAATATATTGATAGCAAAGTACCCGAAAGCAACAAAGCAGAAATGCTGTGATTTTATGAAACCGTGTGTTCTGCTTTTGCATGTGTCATACTCTGTGATAGCTCTATGCTCCTACTGCAGAATCCTGCATTTTATGTCAAAATCGGTACTGAGCATAGATCTGTCCAAGAGCATACAATGCAAGCATTACTTTGGCTGGTGACAGTAACAGAAAGGAAAGAAAAACACAAAGGGCATCATACATTCATGAAAATCCAAGTCAATAACTAAAGAATCCTGTAAAGTATGTTCTGGATTGGAAAGGAATTATTTATTCAAATTAAAAATGGTAAAGTTTCACACAGCAAACCAGGTTTAACGTATTTTCACAACCTCCAATACTGCTGGACCGTTACAGCAAAATAAACAAATAATTTTACTTTGCCATTGCACAAGAACACAGGAATTCTTTACTCTTTGTGTACACCATCTAGCTGTCCGGTGAGTTACACACACAACTGAGTGAAGCTTGGAATCAGAGTGCAAGATCAGTCATCTTCTTGCACCCCTGGAGCAATTTACTGGGTTATTGGCCTCACTCAAGGGCCCAACAGTGATATACTGTAAGTGCTCTGCTTGCTATGGGATTCAAACCGACGACCTTTCGGACACAGGGACATAGTCCTAAACCTGCAGAGCCACTCATCAGTCCAGATAATGATTTTTTTTTTTTTTTTGCTTGTTTTGTGTTGAAATTACCTTAGAATGCTATCATTTTTGTCAATGCTTAATCTTATTGCAGTTTTTATGAAATCAGAAGTGCAGTGATCCCCACAAATGCTGACCTGCCGCATTCTACTGTTCTTTTTTCAACTCAGATACATCCATCATATATAATGTTTTTTTTTCCATCCACATCTGCTTTCTTGATCACATTTGTATTTGAAAACACAGTGTTTATAAAATCATTACCAAGCATAACATGCCAAAATATGACGAATCAAACTAGATTTAATTACGTTACCTTGCAGATCGAGCTCCTATACTGAAACCCATGTAACCCTCTTGAGGAAGCGAATCGTCCCCTAATTCCTTCAGATCTTGGGGCCGCAAGTATTTATCAGTATCGCCGGTCATCGCATCCTCACCTGAGGGAGAGCCGCAGTGTTAGCAGGGCACTTCAACACGCGTCGGTCAAGTTACTGCCACAACCCTGTGATACTTCATTGCAACACTACCAAACACCGGTGTTACACCGATATCCAGCGCCGATAACGTGCTAAAATAATAATAATAAAAAAATAACAATTAATTAAAAAACAATTAAAAACGAACTTATCTCGTAGCAAGCAAATCAAAATAGGATTTCGAAGTCCAGAAAGTATTTGTGTCACTGTCTTCAAGACGAAATTTACGCTTTAAAGTATTCTTAAAAATAGAAATGGGTCCTCACAGCTGACGGGGGCGATGCTGTTTAAGGCAGGACATGCAGCATCAGCCCCCCTGCAGCGCCAAGCCGGTACCGGACTGCCGGTCTCCTGATGCTCCTCTACACTGCAACCCCCCCCCCCTCCCCACCACCACTAAACTAAACATGCATCTCTAATGGAGCGTCTCTTCTAATTTAGCCAAAAATACAATGATCTCGGTATACTAAATTTAGCACAGTATGTCTATAAAAACACCCGCTCTCCGGCCATTAGTGCCCATATAATTATTCCTTTCTTCCATCTCCACTGCAGTGGCTTTCGCAGCTACATTGCACTCCAAACAGATCCGTCTTCCCTTTGCTGCTGGCGATGTAGGTGAATTATTTCGGGCAATTCCGTTACCGCACAGAAGGTGAGCTTAAAGTCAACTTTACCGCACCGAGATAACAGTGCATTCGCTGTTATTTAAAAAAAAAAACACGGGTTCTTACATAGTTTGGTAGCCATTATTGCAGCGAGCCTCATCTCGATCCTTTTTTTATGTCCGTAACTCAATTGAAGATCAGTTTTTAAATCCATGAATGCAAGTTCTTCCGCGGGAAAAAAACAAGGCTAAACAGATCCATTAGGGATTAGGTTTGTATTTGTCCCCCAAACGTAACATCGAAAGACTGTCCTGCAGACTTCAGATGACGGTTTGCTTTTACTGCTGTGGCTGGCAACTGCGCCGATGCTGCGTTATTCGCGGCCGGCAGCGCTGTAACTCTGCGGGACTCCAGCAAACACATTGCTGAACACGGCAAATGACCGAGCCTCCTTCCCACGACAGGACAGGGCAGGACAGGACAGTGCGTTAATCGCGTTGATTTAGTTAAATCTCTTTAACCCCCCCCACCGATGGCGTATCCGGATGACAAAGCACAAAAGCTCAGGGGAAATATTTATGTTAATTGTTCTACCTAATATCTGTCTGAAATCTTAAATTATACTGACAAACAAGACTTTTAAATGTAATCAAAAGCTACCCATTTTTCCCTGGGTTAGACACTTTTATTTCCTAGGTTGAGCTATGGATGTATTATTATTATTATTATTATTATTATTACTGTTGTTGTCAGTGTGGCAGGATGTGCTCTTGCCTTCAGAGGGTACCAACTGTATTTTCTGCTTAGTATTTAGTTTTATTAGCAAAACATCTCTTGAAGCCTGTTATATTTCACTCATCTTCATCTTTATATCTCAAATATGAAGTGTTGCATGGTAATTAAGTTACTAAACTTCCGAGTTTGTCACGCTCGTTTCATATTCAGTGGTATACTTGGTAGACGAAGTTCAAAGCAAAATGTAATAAGAAATAAAAGTCTTCGCATAACCAGTGACTGAACATAACATAATGAGAATTTGTGCAGCATTTTATAGCCCTCACATGAAACACAGCATTTAAACATTAATAGTTGTGTTTTCCAGTGCAAACGAACTCAAAACAACAACAACAACAACAACAACAACAACAAAACATAAACCTGAAGCTAAATCCAGTTCTTGGGGAGGTAATGACCCTCCAACATAGACCATGGTTCACACTACTATATACCTGATCCCAATTAAACCAATTTACCATTGCGGAGTGTATGCTTGACACTTGTGTATTGAAATACAATGAAACTAGAAAGTGCTTTGTAAGCATATATATGCACCTCAGTTATTCCATAAGATTACATTTTTTTCTTCAGTTTTGTGCATGTTCAGACCTTGCTGCTGTGATATGTAACACAGAAATTATTATTATGCACTGGAAAAACAGTTTATAAAATGCACCAATTCATACTCTCCTCTTTTAGTATGAACAGAATGCATCCATAGAAAGATTTATTTTGAATCACAGAAATTGATGTGACCAAGTTAAAGATTAAATAAAAACTAGAACATTTTATTGAAATGCAGTTACTGCAACTACTGCATCATGTTTTCACCATTTGTAAAAATGTAGCAATTAAAAACAACATAAAAAGGCACATGGAAGATTTAGCAAACTTAAATACCGTATTGGGCCGAATATAAGATGACCCAGATTATAAAACGACCCCCCACTTTTTGGCAACTATTTTTAGAAAAAAAATTGGGAATACCAAATCTTCCCTTTATAAAGAAAAATTAAAGAACATATAAGTTTGACAAGAACATATAAGCAACCACAGGCAATTGGATTAAGTGTACTAAAGAGCAAACATTCCAAAAAACAAATGCTTTTTTTTTGGGGGTGGGGGTGTGAGATTATGAACATTACAAACTCCACAACCCTTGAGGGCACAGAATGTTTTCGATGCAGCAGCCCTATTGCGGAGAAAGAGCCGTATGAATAAATGATATGACAGCTCTTTAAGAAAAAATACAATTGTCCTTATTAACAGCCACTGTCAGTTTAATACCAGCAGTGGCACAGCCAGGAAAGCCAGCAATTAAGACGACACTCAGGGATACACGCTAAAGACACGCATTGACAGGGTCGCCAACTCTCACGCATCTGGCGTGACACTCACTTTCAGACTCTCACGCTCACTTAAGAAATCTTACGGCAAATCTATATTATGGCAAATCTATATTACGGTAAATCTATATTACGGTAAATCTATATTACGGTAAATCTATATTACGGTAACACTTTACAAAATATCATATTTGGCGCCATCTTTTCCCATTTTTTGTCTAGACCCCAAATATAAGATGGTACTGCTTTTTCAGACGTATTTTGATAGGAAAAAAAACATCTTGTATTCAAGCCAACACGGTATTTGGAAGATTTCAAAGAAAAACGGCTTACTTTCATAGAAATTAAAGCATGATAAAGCTTTAAACTTTGTACTTTAAAGCAAAGCAGATGATGCAACAGAGAGTAGGTTTTCAATTAATTATAAAAGCAACTTAATATGCCTGCAAATGACTTTGGAGTAATAAATGACAAATACCTTTTCCGACATCTGAAATATAGTCTTCATTGAGAATTTCGGGTACATTGGCTTTACAAACTGTGTAATTTGGATAAATAAAATGTTATGAAATGCATTTACAACACTCATGATTCCATGATTTCATGATAAAAACCAACCAAGGGAAATCAAATTACTGAACTCTTACAGACAACATATACATTTTTTTTCGGTCTCAACAAGAAGAATGTTGACTCACACTTACCTTCATCATCTGACATGTCAAGGAACTCATTCATGGTTTCTGGCACATTCATTTTATGTTTTTCATTTACTATCTATTAAAAGAAAGAAAAAAAGTCAAATAACAGTGTATTTTGATTGCTTGTGGTTCTACGAAATGCCTGCAAAATTGTAAGCAACAGCAGTAGCAGCAAAATTTGACTGAACTAATCATCATTTATCATTTCCTGGTAAAGGTTATGGGGGGGGGGGGTAGGCTGTCCCAGGCAGTGTAAGTTTTTATTATATTATATATTAATACCATCCATCTAACTTCTGACCACTTACCCTAGGGGCCATGAAGCTTATCACAGGGCACACACACACACACACACACAGAAACACACGCACACAGAAACACACGCACACGCACACACACACACACAGAAACACACACGCACACACACACACACAGACTATGGGAGGAACCCGGACCATCAAACCTGTTAACGTTCTTTAGATTATGTTACACATAATATGATCCTTATTATCTATGATAATAGTCAAATAAGATTAAATGAGGCTTAAATTGTTAAGTACTACTTTGGTGAAAATAAGAGCACATCTTACCATGGTGGTCATCGTCTCCTCAGTCACTACCTTTAGAGTATCCACAACGGAAATGTAGCCTAGTCTCCTGGCTATGGACAATGCAGTGTTTCCATTCTAAGGGGAAACAGAAACAAAGTTAAATCTTGGTAGTATTTGAGCAGCAAAACATATTTACAAACACAATTAATCTGTTCAGCTGAGATTAATGGTTATGTGTTTTGCTTGGTTTTCAGAGTAAAAGTGTTTATAAAATAATTTCAATAATTACTTGAACCATCCATAGAAATTGGTTGAAATGTGTGTACTGAACACAGCTATGCTTGCGTGAGCGTGTGGGAGAATGGATGTAGAAATGTGTTTCAGTGAAAATGCTAAACTTGTCTGTCTGATGTAGCATTGTAAAGCGGCGTGCACAGTGCACAGTGCATAGTGTCCGTGCCCTGCTACCTCCGGCCCATTCACTGCTTCAGTTTACACGTACCACTGTAAGTTCATTGGGTGAGGCGTCGTACTGAAGCAGGACGTTGATTATGTGGGTGTGGCCCTGTTGAGACGCCTGGTGGAGGGGCGTATACCCGCTCTGCACATGACACAACATCACATGGGTCTCAACATCCTACACATATAACTCTCGCAAATGGGTGAATTTCTGCTCAGACACAAGTCAGTACCTTTGTTTTCATATTGATGTTAGCCTGATGCTGTAGAAGGAAGTTTACCATCTTAACGTTTCCATAGTGACAGGCCACGTGTAATGGAGTGTAACCCATCTGTTAGTAAAGAAATGACATTGCATGAGTTAAGCCCTTGTTCTCCTGCAAGCATCTATATTTTAGGTTGATCATATGAATACATAACTATATCCAGTAATCCATTTTGTTTATAGTTCACCGTTTTGTTGAATGTGAAAAAACCTTTTTAAAATTAATACTGGATATAGATTTCAGTGTTAGCTACTCAAAATACACCAGATTTTGTCCTGTAGTCTGACTTTGGCAGATTTGTTTTGGCAGATTGTTTGGAACATCCGCACAATTTTTTTAAATAAAAATTATGTTCATGATCTAGGTTAAGTGAACAGTAGTTGATTATGTCGGTGATACAGTCTACACCAGGGGTCTCCAACTCCGGTCCTGGAGAGCTACCGTCCAGTAGGTTTTCTATCCTACCCGGCTTCTGATGAGCCACACCTGTTCTCAGGTAAATACCAGGAACAGGTGTGGCTCATCAGAAGCCAAGTGGGACAGAAAACCTACTGGATAGTAGCTCTCCAGGACCGGAGTTGGAGACCCCTGGTCTACACACTTGAAGTTATTTGGAACGCCTGCCCTTGGCAGATGATCTTTGGAACATTTCTTTGGCACAAACACAAAACACATAATCTCTTTACACTTGGGCTCCACATTGTTTTAACATAACTCCTTAAGTTAATTTATAGCTAGTTAATAAATATGACACACTTCTATTTTTATCAGTGGAAACTGGATGCTTCCATTTGGGTCCAACTGATGTTCACCTTTGTCTGAGGGTCAATATTTGCTCCGTGTTTGATCAGAACCTCAGCAACATTAAGTTTTTCCTCTTGAGCTGCTAGGTGCAGAGGTGTCAGACCGCTCTAAAATAGAAAAGATATTGAGACACAAAAGTCACCAAACTGCATGCCCTCGGACTGTGGCTGAAATCCGGAATTTGGAAGTTTCTCAGAGGAAATCCATACAACGTAGAGAGAACATGCAAATGTCACACAAACACACGAAGCAGGACCAAGAAACCCACAACTGTGTGGGAGGCAGCAGTTAATGAGCCACTCTGGCAGTTATTTAATGTTGAAGTTAATATGTCCATGAACATATACTGTAAAGGACAAGGATTAATATTAAATATTATGCAGAAATATGAAGTTTAAATGTTATGCGTACACAAGATCAGTATTTATACACCTTATACTAATGGCAGGTCCAGAATCTACAAATCCAGACCAAGATTTTGTTGCTACCACCCAGCTAAGTACTCTGTGACTGTGACTCTTTATGCTGAACTGGGTGGTAGAAACAAAATCTTGGTCTGGATTTGTAGCTTCTGGACCTGAAATGCCCAACACTGCAAATAGGCAGAGCACAGAAATGATATTTCAAATTTAACACACACTGCAGGACCAATGCTGTGCATCTTTCATTGCACATTACCGAGTGAAATCTCCATACAGTCCTGACAAAGTTACTCTGCGGCTCTACTCTCAACGACAGATGGGTGGTGCTTACCTTGTTGCCCAGGTTGACGTTGGCATTCCTGGTCAGCAGCAGGGCCACCATGTCCGCATTGCCCTCCTGTGCAGCTAAGTGCACAGGGCTGATGCCCTGCCGTGTCACTACACTGGTATCTGCTCCATACTCCAGCAGCGTGGTGCCAATGTCCATTTGATTCTTCTTGGCAGCGATATGCAGAGGGGTATAGCCATTCTGGGAACACGCAAACGGGAATCCGTTCAGCAGCCTTCTCCACGCATGTGAATTTCACAGCATTTCAAAAACGCCGTGCGGCAGCTAGACTTTGACCTGGGTATACGTATGTTGTTTGTTAAACATAATCATCGAAAAGTCTGACTGTTCTGACAGACTCAGAACTTCACTTTCTCCAAATTTTGCAATTTCGAAATGTACTGAAGAGAAAACATGATTTTAGAAATGTTTGCAAATTGATTTGATGGGAGGCATCAGTGAAGTAGAATCAATTCAATGGGGACTATGCTTCAGCTACAGTAGGCCACTCAAGGACATTGGGAGACTTTGTTCCAAGGCCTCTCCAGGATTGTCTTAGCTGTGTGCTTTGGGTCGATGTCATGCTGAAAGGCAAACCCAAGGCTGCATGTCCTCTAGAGCAGGACTTCTTCAAACACCTCTTCTATTTATCTTTGTTCTTCTTTTCCTGTCTTGATCAATATCCCAGTCTGTGCATCCCCACATTATGTTTTGCTGGTATAGCCAGGTGATGAGCAATACCTGGATCTCGCCAGTTATGCAGTTTAATTTTGACTCATTATACAATACAAACCCCAAATATCCAACACCTTTTACTTAGGACTGGGTAGAAAATATATGCAGAAAATATTGGTAGTGGTCTTTTTTCCATCTACCCTCCCATTAAATTATTGATAATTGTACAGGAACTTATTTGCACTAAGTTAATCCAAAAGTCCTTCTTTAGCACTGGAATGTCTACCTAGAATGTTGCCACGTGTGCTAGGAAAACCTTTATTTTATTTCACTGTGTACCATATGTGGCTGAGATGATGATAAAGTTTTATTTGACTTCCATCTAGCCTCCTTACCACAAAGACTGATGGAATGCTGCATAATTGTTCTTCCTCATTGCACATGAACTCTGAAGCTCTGTTAAGTGGCCAGTAGGCTCCTTGCACACCTTGCTGACTTTGGCCCTTTTTGTCTGATTATCAAAATGTAGGACTATTGTTGATTCCAAATTTCTTCCCTCTGACCATGACGAAAGGCCAGTATACTCTTGAGGTCCTTTAATGCCCTGTAAATTTTTTTAATACCCCTTTTTGTGTTCAGCAATGTGTGGGGGTGGATGAGGTGCAGCTCTGTCTATTTAAATTCTGCATCAATGTCCAGAAGGTTGGTAGTTCCAATCCCAGGGCTGGCAGAGTAGTTATATAATGCCGGGCTCATGAGCAGCGCTCACAAACTCTGGTGTACTGGATGAACAGCAACCCTGCGCTCTGATCCCAACCTTTGCTCTCACCAGGACATGTGTCTCTCACGGAGAGCAAAGAGGGATACCTGAAATTCAAAGACCTCCTATGCTCCTGCACTCACACTTATACACATGGCAGACAAACATATCTGTTCAGATCCATGCATCATAACGTACAGAAAGTGCCTTCCAATGTTTAGTTTTACTTTACATCACATCACACCATTTTCTTTAGTGTCCTGCTGGCTGAAGCCAGTGTTTCCGCCCACTCCATGTGCACCTTCAGTTCATCATAAATTGTGTGCAGTTTTTTCAATAGTCGCCAACTGTCAGTGAGATTTGCGGTGAATTTCTCTTTTATGCTCACATCCTAGGAGAATCGTAAGAGATTCAAAACGATTCTACAGGCTGCAGACTTCTTGATCCCTCTATAAACAGGATCACCAGTATTCTGAACTGGATTTCTAGCCTTGAAATTTGTAATGTGTGGTGTTTCACTTTTTACGTTATACCACAGTTATGCTGTTGTACGACTTCAGAACTCTATGTATGTGAATATTTTGTGGATAATTATCTAATTTAAAACAGGCAAACAAACAAAAATGAGTTTTTTTGGCAGCTACTGCATATACTGTGAGAATGCTTCATATGTGAATAAATAAATTATGTGCTCTCTATCGGATTTTTGGCCCACTACCAATCACTCACTGTTCTGAACTATAGGAGCTGAGGAAAAGAAACACAAAGAGAATAGTACACTAGATACCAAACACATGAAACATTAAGACAAAAGAAGAGTAGGAGGGTAACAGCACTCAATACTTAATGGATGCTTTAAATAAATGTAATAAGTAAAATGACTAATAATCTGTGGAAGTACAGCCATGTTCACTTCAAGACATGAAACGGCAAAGACAAGACAAAGACTGAAATTAGTAGATTACGTAAAATATCCAAGCAGGGGAATCAGCACAATTGAGATGAAGGGATGGAGAAACAGCAGAATGAGTGTACCTTGGCAGTTGCATGTGGTGAAGCTCCTTGGTCCAACAGAAGGAGGGCAACCTTCTGGTTATCATAATGTGCCGCTACATGCAGTGGAGTTAGACCACTCTACAATAAAGGCAAAGTTCTTCATTAGTTGGTTGTTATTAATAATTGAATACAAAAGAAACATCAGTTTAACTAGTAATTTAATACAAAGAGGAACATCAGTTTAACTAGTAATTTAATACAAAGAGGAACATCACTTTAACTAGTAGTACAGCATTGACAATGTTAAAACAACAACTGACAGACGCTCATTGGTGAAGGAAATGACAGACAAACATGTCTGAACCATAGGCAGTACAGCCAACATGAAGACTTGTTATGTGGTGCATCGCAATTTTAGTTTGCACAAGTAATACCACATGCACATAACATAAACTCAGTGGTTGCTGAAAGAAAAACATGCAAGACCTTTGTTTAAATCTGGTGGTAAATATTCGCTCATTTTCAACCATCGACCAATGGCTGACTGTTGCTGTATGAACCGTTACCAAGAGTTGGCCAATACAAATGGTGCATCTTTAACTTCAACAAAATAAAACAAATACTGCAAATTATGATTTTTTTTAATCCTATGTATGCCGCTGTCAAGCAATTTATGAAAATGAAATAAACCAGATAATATCAACTTCCCCATGGGATGCAAACTGAATGGTTGGACTTTAGCTTTAGAGTTTTGTGCAACATTATAACCTAAACTCTCACATTGTTTACAACCAAGGAGGAATAGTATAGGTCTCTATTAAAAATATTTGCTCATACTCCTTTCCCATTTGTGCATCAAAATGCTGCATACGTTATAGTCAGTCCTGCTACAACACGACTAATGAGTTTCTGAAAAGCCTTGCGTTCACTAAAATCGCGTACTAAAATACACATATCCATCAGGAAAAACAGTGTTAGGGAAATACGACTCCAAAACTTAGTAACTTATGCCAAACAAGATTAATTAAATAATAAAAACAGTGATACCAGTGGCCAATAATGTTATTATATGATTTCAAATAAGAAGTACAGTGTTACCACAGTTCTTGAACTCATTAGAACTCAAATTTCTTAAAAGTGGAACCAACCAGTTCGAAAAAAAAATTAAACTAGAACTCGATCTGAATCTCAGAAGTCGAACCGTGAACGCCGACCTAAGATAACTTGTATGAGCGGGGAAATGAGTCACGCGGCACGTCTCTCAGCGGAAACAAAGGGTAACGCTTCAGTCTCAGCCTCGCATTCGCTGTGACAGCACCATGCATGTTTACACTAACTGAATACATATATTTAATCAGTAAAAATACATTTAGACAATGATAGACAGTAACAGTAATTATTATTATATGATAAAATACATTTTAAAATAAAGATTTCTCATTATTTTAATATTAATAATAAACCATAAATACATTTTTATGTTACATGAATTAACATTCTTCATTGTACCAACATCACACCTTTCCTGCTGCATCTGGCGATGCTCTCTTCTGAAGGAGAAGATTAGCCACTTCAATCTTTCCATACTTTGCTGCAACATGTAAAGGACTAAATCCTTTCTGTGAAAAGAAAATTGAAATGCTTTCAGGAGAAGCACAAAGTGAACGATTTCCATAAACATCTAAACACTTAGCATTTTGCACCAGGTTCAGACACAAGCAAAAATGAACATTCAAAGCCGTTTGAACACATCCAAATCTTATAAAGTTGTTTTTTTTAGGCTATATCATGTTTTGTCCGGTAAGTTCTTTTTTACAATGAAATACAGTGGAATGTTAAAATAATACTATGTGCTGTTTTGCCTATATACTGTATTGCCTGACATTTTTGATAACTGAGCATACAATGCCTTTAATTTGTTCCAGCACAATCCAGCTCTGTCTTTTGATAGATGTTTCATTCTATGTGTCTTGTTTCCACTTTTAAACATCCAAATCCCTTAGGAATGTCCACACACTCCTTCTGTGTGCATGCAACTGTACACACGCGGTATGATGTATGCAATTAACTTTTGATTAACAATGGAAAAATGCTTTCTTTTTAGTTGTTGTGTGCTACGCACTTGCTGTACTACTTTGTTGTAGACGAAACAGGCGACCATAGCATGCATGGCCATAAAACAAAGTAAATAATGGTATTGTACTGCTGTCAGCTACATAAAAACAAAAACCCATTTAATATGTTATAAGGCAGCAAGTAATAGATCTAAATGATGACATATATATTTGGAATACAGATTAAAAAATAATGCAGTACAGTGAGGAGGTGCAGTGGTTAGCACTGTCGCCTCACACCTCTGGGGCCCGGGTTCGAGTCTCCGCCAGGGTTCCATGTGTGTGGAGTTGGCATCTTCTCCCCATGTCATCGTGGGGTTTCCTCCAGGTACTCTGATTTCCCTTCACACTCCAATGACATGCTGAGGCTAATTGGAGTTGCCGAATTGCTTATAGGTGTGCAGTATGAGTGAATGGTGTGTGAGTGAGTCCTGCGATAGGTTGGCGCCCCATCCTGGGTTGTTCCCTGCCTTGTGCCTATAGCCTCCCAAATGGGCTCCGGACCCCTTGTGACTCTGAACAGGATAAGTGGTTTCTGTTAATGGATGGATGGAGTACAGCAACAGATGGCAATCCCTTGCCCCAAACCCTACAGAGCTGGATTGGGATGAGCCAACCACCTTGTGCCCAGAATTTGTGGAAACTCCTCCATTGCTCTGGGAGAAGCATTCCAGATGGCTACATATGAAAGCTGGTTGAATGAATGCCAGGAGTCTGTAATGTTGTCATTGAAGTAAATTTTTTGAAGAGTCAAAATATTTTGAGATGTTGAACACTTCTCTTGGTCATTGCAATATTTGGTATGTATTACCAAAGACATCATTGCCTCAAAGCCTTTTACTAGAAGCTGAATCATAAAGACTCATCTAGACTTTTGACTTGTACTATATATATTAAGAGAAAAGCATCCAGTTTGAGAGCCTACTGTAAGTCCTGCAAATGTTTCCCTGAGAGAGAATGATCCGCATCAGCATACTGACAGGAAGCCGTGCTCTTCTGACCTTGGTGGTGGCTGAGAGGGAGGCCTCGTGTGACAGCAGCACACTCGCCACATCTTCATGGCCTTCGCGGACCGCCAGGTGCAGTGGCGTGTATCCCGACGTGGTGCAGGCGTTTGCCGAAGCCCCGTGCTTCAGCAGCTGCTGCGCTATGTCAGCCTTTCCTGTGCGGCTGCAGATGTGCAGTGGCGTCTGGTCATCCTGTGCATGCACGCAGATACGCATGAATGAGCCGAGCTCACAAGCCGCAGGATATTTGCAACACAACATGTTACAATGGGAACAACCCAGGATGGGGGACCGGCCCATTGACTCACACACCGTTCACTCACACACGCACACCCATAGGCAATTTGGTAACTCCAGTTAGCCTCAGCATGTCTTTGGACTGTGGGGGGAAACCGGAGTACCCAGAGGAAACCCCACGACGACACGGGGAGAACATGCAAACTCCACACGCATGTAACCCAGGCAGAGACTCGAACACGGGTCCCAGAGGTGCGAGGCAGCAGTGCCAACTACTGCACCACCATGCCGCCCCCAATAATAATAATCATAATAATAATACAGACAATACTCAGTTTAAGAACATCCGCCTTATGGACAACTTGTAGTTATGAATGGACTGCCATAAAGCCTATTACATTAAAAATCTGCGTAAAACAGAACCATCTTTATTATGAACCATCATATTTAATTCAAATTTTCACATAATAGGCTCTATGGCAGTCCACTCACGAGTATGAGTTTTCTGTAGGTCAGACGCTCTTATTCCAGGGACTGCTTGTACATTAAAATGATACCATCTGTTGCTCTGATTAAATGATTTTTTTAAAGCATTTTATCCCAAATAAGTACCAAAAAATCTCATTACCGTAACGGTTTTGAGACCAAATAACACAAAACTTTCTACTTTATTGCATACAGTATATCCCACAATAAATAATTTGTATGATAAGATATATGCGTATTGCTCAATTTCTTGTTAGTTTTTCTGTAATTCTTGCCCTGAATTTGATTAAATACTTTAGTTTATCAAGTACTGAGGCTGAATTGACAGTTTAGACAAGGATGTTATGTAATTTCAGCTTGTCTTCAAACTATTTTTAAAAAAAAAATTGAGAAAATTGACATGGTACATAATGAGTTTGTGAGAATGACCCAAATTACAGTGGTAAATTAAGACAAGAAGTTTTTTTTTTATTTTCAATGTACTGTAATGGGTATTTACATCCTAGTTCTGACATGAATATAATAAATGAGTACCGTTTTGCTGTATATGAGAAGGTGAACATATATAGTCTCATTAACTAATGTCATGGTTTAGTTATTTCATCTATAGTTCCCATAAACCTCATAGCAAAAGAAGGCCAAAATATTCCAGGCTATTCATCATGTTTAAATGGATCTACTCCACTCTTAGCTTAGCCTTACCTTGGCTTTGGTGTCTGCCTTGGCTCCGTTTTGCAGCAGGAGCCTGACCACGCCTGACTGGCCAGCCCTTGCAGCCATGTGGAGTGCTGTCTCCCCCCTCTGGAATAAAGAGTGACACATCCACAGAAGCTTTACTGTGGCGCAGAGCAATGCTGGATACTGGCCTTACATATGTAGTCAGATTCTGCTTCATATTGTCCATATTGGTTCGTTGTTTCACCAAAACTTACCCTTACTTTAGCCATTCACTGTAAAAACTTGTGATGTAAATATCCACAGTGATCTAAAACTAAATTTATGATGTTACTTGTTTAAAAATCTGTTTTTCTGAGATGCAGGTAACATCCCAATTATCGACCTGTACTTATACAGACCTATGTGGATATGTCCGTAACAGAAAAAATTCACAGTCCGAAACTCACCACATTGCTTGTGTTCAGTGAAGCACCAAAATGCATTAGTTGAGTCACAATATTTTCATGTCCCATAAATGCAGCCACATGAATTGGTGTAAGTCCCGACTGTAGAGACAGAAGTACAGAAGAGGAAAATGAAGTTCCAGAACCCCAGCCCTGGAAATGTGAAGCCTCGGTACTAACCACTAGTTGACTTCATTGCCCCCAGTTGTATCATTGAAAGACTTCATTGTATTGTTTAATAAAAAAAACACGGTAATATCTTACATTAAGTACACAGCACATAAATTTAAATTTAAGTTGATTGTGCCATATTGGTGGTTGTTACTGAAACCAAACGTTCAATTCATCTCTCCTACCTCGGTCACAGCTTGGATAGAAGCCCCGTGTTTCAGCAGAAGCTCCATCACTTTAATACGATTCTTCTTGCAAGCAATATGCAAGGGTGTGAAACCATTCTAAAAATAAAATAAAAGAAACTATTTAGAAATAATTCTCAGTTCACGTGTTACTGGTCTTTAAAATGATCAACTTGTGCAGAGAATAAGTCTTTATTTTACTAAGTTGTAGGGACTTTTTGCATCTTAAGCTACTAATTTAGCTTCTAAAATCTAGAATTAAATGCTGAAATGCGTATTCATTTAAATTACTTGTGAACCATTTAGACTTCAGGAAGCTGCAAAAATAGTCCTTGCTTATACCTTCATTTTTCACAGTTACTCCTGTAGAAATATACGTAGACTTCAAGACTACTAAAAACATATTCCTGTAAGACAAGTCAAGAATTGCACTAAATTAATTTTTATGAACAACTACATAACTACAGAGGAAATATTTCCTCACCAGAGCTTTTGCATTGGGATTGGCTTTCTTGTCCACGATAACCTTGGCCACCTTGTAGTGTCCACAGTGCGCTGCAACATGCAGCGCTGTCAGGTAGTCGTTGGTGACGTCGTCCACAGGCACGTTGTGATGAAGCAGGAGCTGAACACAGTTCAGGTGGTCCCCTTGAGTTGCCATATGGAGGGGTGACAGCCCATTCTGTTGATCACAAACACAACTCACATCTGCACTGCTATTATCTCATCAACGCAAAAGTAATTCAAGAACCTAGTACTGGTGATGGATCAGTATCCCATAAACATCTGGGTTAAATTTTTTTTTACAACTGATGTGTTAGTGTTCATATGTGAAAACAGGTTTCCTATTTATGTAAAAATATTTAGTATTGTATTTTTCTGCCGATTTCTTGGGAGTGATCGACAAATTTAATTCTCATTGCATAATGTCCTTCGTATCCCCTATTTTATTCACCTTAAAAGACAACTGAATTCACTATTGTTCAGGGTTAGTTTCAACAATATATAGAATAGAATGCCTTTACTGTCATTGCGCAGTTGCAATCAAGTATGACAAAATTCAGTCTTCACATGTTCAAAATAAAAGGTTGGAAAAATGATGAAAATATCTTTTTTAATGTTAGACATAGTGCCTACAGTGAGTGGGCGGGCACTTCATGTAAGCTGCACATTATTAAATAGAAAGCATTCCCAATAATTAATAAAACCCATGAATATTCATTTCAGCTGCTGAGATCCAAAAACTGGACATAATCACATAGCTATGAAAATGAAATAGCACAGAAGGCAATTACGTAAATAACAGGTCTAATGTGCAAATATTTAGTTACTGTCTTTATCTCAGAGTCAAAATTGCCTGTGTTTCAGTACCAGCGTTACCTTTGTTTTCGACATTATTGGGGCTCCGCGGTCCAGGAGCATCTCCACCACCTGCTCGTGGCCACTCCGTGCCCCGCAGTGTAAAGGCGTCAGTCCATCCTATATGACAAAATAATGTCGGCCACAGTGCCACATCCTTCATGACAGAAAAAACTTGCACCCAACATTTAACATGTAAACTAATATAAATTACTTTATTTAACAGAAATTAACAAGTAAACAATATAAAGGGATGAAAAGGAGAAGAAACTGAAGACACAGAGCTTCATTTTCTCCTGTGACACTGCGTCCTATTATTGCTCAACTGCAATCGTCAACCTCAGTGATGACGCCAGAGTAGGGATCTTCAATATGCACATTTAATGTCTGAAAGCTGGTATCTTTTATAAAAAATTACAACAAAATTGCTTTGAAAAACACCAGAAAACTACATTATAATGCAAACATAATTTCCAGTAGATTCCTGAATTTGGAAGGAATTTCACCTTGGTTTTGGCATCTATTTTAGCTCCTCGGTCCAACAGTAATCTGACCATGTTTCCGTTGCCTCTCTTAGCTGCCACATGCAAAGGAGTGATGTCATTCTGTGGAATGCAGGAACAGGAAACAGCACAGCTGTCAAACCGTGGCACAACAGACAATTGTTTGTTGCATTTTTAATACAGCATGCCTTTAGGGTTTAACATAGTTCAACTTTGCTTGGTCATACCCTAAACATGAAAGTATTACTAATGGCAAGTATCAGAAATTGTCAACCTGCCCTTATACAGACAATTCTCTCCATGTCTGTTGATTGAAGAAGAAGAAGAAAAAACATTGCATGTTTTTAAATGCGCTGTGTACTTTCAATGTTCAATTTTCATTTACTGTGTTTTACTGTGTAAAAAGAATGCTGTCAGGCAGCCGAATATTTGTTTTCAAAACAATTTTAAGCAAGAAAACACTAGCAGTCAATCTGTATGGTGATCTTAGTTTAATTCAATTATCTCAGTTACATTTTTCCTTTCCCAAAAATTTAATTATTTATTTACACATAAATCTAGATAAAACTTATAAGTATTATGATATATGCAGATTATCTTTCATGCAAATGTAATAATACTAATAGCTCAACCATCCATTTTCAAACCATTAATCATAGTGTAGTGGAAAACAGTAATAGTTGGTCTATTGATTTACATAAATTTTCATTTGAAAACCAGCAGGGTATCTATCAGAATTGCAGTTGTACCATTTCAAGCCATTCAATGGCAGTAAATCCAAAATGCTGCTTATTTGGAAAAAAAAAAATCATATGAGTAAGTGCAACAATGATTGTGCTTCTCTGCTTGGGTCACTAAGGTTACGGTTTCTTATCGCTTAACTCAGAAAGGGAATGGGTACCACACATCTTTCCATTTAAATGTGAGGGAAGTATTAAGAGTTGTGTTAGCGAAAAGAATTTAGTTCACAGACCAAATTAGTCTATTGCTAATAATTTATGAATTGGAGACATGCTTGACAAAGGCCAAGTGGGAAGAAATTTTGAGCTCAGGATCCTGAAAGTCGAAACGCCCAGCAGACTTTCCTGAAGTTCTTCTGCAGCTTTGGTAGCTATCGACAGCTAACAATGGTAATAGTTTTGGAGAAATAACCATGAAGTCGTCTCGTAGCCAATGCAAGTTAAAATAACACAGTTTTTTTTTGACGGAACAGACAAGACGGAGTGCAGAAGCGGGTATTTTGTGTGACATCCATGCACAGAAACGGGTATTACCCGCGCGGTGAAGTCCACCGCGGCCCCACGATTCAGCAGCAGCGTGGCCACGTTGATGTTGCCGTAATGCGCCGCGATGTGGAGAGGGGTGAAGCCGCTCTGAAGGAGACAGAAAGCAAACAGCCAGTCGGCATTACGTTACTGCACGTGCCGAGTCAAAACACCAGTGAAGAGATTTGCTAAATCCTCTTAAAATTTCCAGCCCTCATTAGGGAAGCTCTGTAGTGCAAATCAACATTGACTTGAAACCCATTTTTCACCCCAGTGTATGCAAGAATCTACACTGAGACAGGATTTTAGCGAGGAGAACTTCCGAAGATTAAGAAACAACATTACGACTGAATAACAGAATCCAGTAACTTTGCAGAAAATAGGGAACCATCTGTTAAAAATGCATGACTACAAACCACAGAAACGCAATCTGCATTATGATACATTTTCAGTTCTGTTACGCAGGCTTTTTTAGGAACTGGTTATTTTTTTAAACACAAGGAAATATGTTAATGAAGCAGTGAAAGAAAAAGTAAACAAAATAAAATGCTGAATAATATTCTTTTTAATGTTATTGTAACTCAAAAAGATATGCTATATGTTGAGGTATGTTATTTGTGCACTGGTGCAGTGATTAATTTGTTCTGATCAAACACATGACTGAACAAAAGCAGCAAGTAGGACTGTTTCACTGTACCCCAGACATAAATTATTCAAAGAACTAACAAATAATCTGAATGTACCCTTTCACCTCCAGCCTTGTGCGTACTTATGATTGTTTTAAAACATTAGGTACAAAAACACATTTTGAGTAAGTAAAAAAAATAAATAAAATTCACATACGCTGAGAAAAAATGATAAAACGAATATTATGTTCATCGTCTTTACTGGAAGTAAAACTACAGTACATGCAGCAAATGCATAATCAGTTTTTCTGATGCTACATGATACTGTGCTAGTTTTGCAAACCATTGAGACATTTTTGGGTTGTTTACTGTAATAGACTATGTTTTTTAAATTTTCCATTCATACAATATAATTCTAAAGGGCATCAAAAAAATCTTTTTTTTTTCCATGGGTTTTCATATCATGCAGTGCTGTTTGACCCAGTTTCCATTATACAAGCACTATGAAAAATGAGTGTTTTAAACGGCCCGAATGAACCATGGAACAGGAGAAGGGAATAGCGTAAATCCTGGCAGACAGTGGACCGTGCTGTCCTCTGGACCCCTTTATCATTCCGTAGACACCTGAAAGTGTAAGTGTCATGCAAAAGGACTCAGGCCTAGTTGTCTAGATGCAAACTAGCATCTATCATACTGGCTCTCTGCAGCTGGACCATTTCATTCATAACCACTATGAAAAATTGGTTTCTCAGGTCCCTCAGATACATCTCATTAATCGCTTTAAACTCCATTAGACTAGCCACTGTTTTTGTTTTCTTTTTTTCAAAAGACACCCAATCACCAGCTGCAGAAACCCTTCCATCATTACCAGTATTCCAATAACATGCTGCTTTAGTCAGAAGCATGGGTTTCCCAAAAATGGTAAGGTAGGAAGGAAGAGTGATGCGGAAGGGAACAAAGACGATGCAGCGAATCCAGAATGAAAAGTGTGCAGTGTATAGAGTTTGCACGTGGATACCTCAGTTGTTCTATTCACCATCATCTAGGAGTGGAGACATAGCCACCAGCAGAGAGAAGAGAGAGCGGTCTGTTAGTGTACACAATGTCACAGTGAGAGCACCAAGCCACACCGTTGCCACAGAGCAGGAGAGTAATGAATCAGGCACCAATTACATATAGGCCAAGAGTATACACACTCCTCGTCTTTGAAGAGAACAGTAAACTCAAACAACGTGAAGACTGTTATTAGTTTAATGAAACACAAAACAATTTTCATAGTTTAAATTTACTACTGTCCATCAAAACCACACAAATCCAGTTATTTAATACAGCAACTAATGTGTCCTAAACTGACCTGAAGTATCCCTTTAAGATCAGCAACATTAGTTTGAACAGCAGGAGTAAATTAATGCATAGGCTATGCTAGGCTATAGCCTGGGACCCTGCCAAACATCAAGGCCCCGTTTTGCCTCGGGAAAAATGGAACAGTTCGTTAAATCGGCAACACCTGAGCGTCCATGATAATGTCAGCCTAAGGCCCCTAGATAAGTTAATCCTCCGCTGCTGAAGAGAGAATATTGTACCTTAACAATAAAGGATTTTGATTTTTGTAATAGAAATAAACTTATATAGCTGGTTTCTCCCAGTGCAGATTAAAACCCCAGGATATATGTAGGGCTGTCACTATCGATTATACCAGTAATCAAGTAATCTAGTGATTAATCTCTATATTATAATAATATAATATAATATAATATAATATAATATAATATAATATAATATAATATAATATGCATTGCAATTGTTTTACACTCAGTGACACATATAGGGAATTCAGGCACTCAAATTCACTTTAAAGTTGCATGTATTTGGACGTTGGAAGGAAACCGGAGAATCTGCCGAAAAAGCGTACAGACATACACAAAAGGTGATAATGCGAAGGGTGCAGTGTAGCGGCGGCACTGCCCACTGCGTCACTGCACCACCCTGACAAGCTTGCAGAATGTGCGATGGTAATATCGCAATGGCATTTCGCCTGCTTATGATTACACATCGCAAGGATCGCGATACTGATGCTTTGAATGCAGCAGACTATGTTGCACTAAAACACTTTTACTCAGTCATAGGAAACCAAACTTAGCAAGGTTTGCAATTTTAATGATGGTTCCTTTTCAACATCTAGTGTATGTTTAAAAAAAATAATAAGTTTACTGCCGCTGCTTTTGCATGAGCTCTGAATGTGCTCTCTGAGACGATCATAATCATTCACTCATATAGAGCGATTAATATTCCTCACATGCCACAAGGCATGTTTTTTACGTAAACCTTTTGCGTTGCTTGCAGGAGTTTTGTGACAGTCCCTAAATCAGAACAGACACTATAATGTTAAGGGATAGTGTGAGGCTCAGTGGGCTAAGCCTCTATGGCTGCGGTCAGGAGGCTGCTGCTTTGAGCCTCGCCTTTCCACGTCTGCAGGTCCATGACCAAGGCTCATAACCACCAGCTTCCTGGGTGCTGCAACGGGTGGCCGCCCTTTGTGGCCAATTTGCTCTCACTTACAGAGAGCCAGTTGGGAGAGGCGTAAAGAGAAATTCCCCATGGGGGTCAATGAAGTATCAGTTATTATTATCAAACTAACTTTACCTCTATTGTGCTGATACTGAAGTTCTGCTTTGCAATACTGACAGACTGCATTTTCATTCACTATTAATGTGAAGTGCTTCCATACAAATTATGCTTTCTCTCTCTATTTGGATTCTCATCTTGCATGTGCCATCATCCTTCCAGCATACTGCTGAGTATTTGAGAAGGAATATTACAATCAACGCTTTTTAATAACCGAATAAATGAGTTTAATCGAGTAATCGCAACAGCTCTACATATATGGCATCCCCGCTTCGTAAATCTCAGTAGGCAGCAGCTCACCTAGTACAACGAAATAATTGCCCAAAACTTCATACACTTAACTACAAGAGATATACAAGTTGAAAAAGCAGTCAGCCAATTATTCCCAATCTGAAATCCCAATATCTTGAAACCTGTATTTAGTGTAAATTTGTGCCCAGCACAGGAAGAAAAGAGCAACGTTACGGCTGACAGCTGATACAGGACGACGCTCACCTTAGACTCCACATCAGCGTTGTGGTCGTTCTGCAGGAGCAGGGCAGCTGCTTTGGTGTCATCCTTGCGGGCTGCGATGTGCAGGGCGGGCAGTCGCACCTTGCCCTTCGTGTCGTTCTCCAGTAACAGGGACACCACCTGATTGTGGCCCTGCTGCAAAGCCACTGCTAGGGGGGTGAAACCGTCCTGGGGGGGGGGGGGGGGCAGCAGACACGGTTATGACAGTTTCCAACACCTCTTCCCACTTTTCCTGAAGAACTGCACTACCACTGTGTGCCCGTCTCCCATCAGAGATGCTGTGGACGGCAGCACCTTATTCATTAAAGCCTGGTGCTGAACGTCAGCCCTGTAACCTTTCACATATAATAAAAGCCAAAAGTTTATCATTTATCCAGATACACAGCAATACGTTCATTTTTTCTACACATTTAAGATGTTATATTCATTACACATGAAGGGCTGCATTATTATCTTCAGTGCTCATATTGAGCTCAAGATTTTACATTTAGATTTCCCTGGTAAAATTAGTCATGGTTCTAGAATGTGAAATGTGGAATGTTTCTTATCTGTCTATACAAGGGGTGGGCAGTCTTATCCACATAGGGCCGGTGTGTATGCAGGCTTTTGGGATAACCTTTAAGTCAGCTGTTCAAACCCAGGTGTAAGAATTGTTCAGCCAATCAGTCCTCTAATTAGTGATGTAATCAGGGAGTTGCAACAAAAACTCACAAACCCAATGACCCTTCCTGGATAAGATTGCCCAATCCTGGTTAATAATGACAATACATTTACAAAAAAAAAATTAATTTAGTTTGAAATTGCTCTCATTTTAGAATTTATAATATGTTATAAATCATGGTTCTTCAACTCTGGACCTCGATTCCAAATCCAGGCCGTGTTTTCAGTTCTCCCAAGTAGTTGTTTAATAATGACTGATTCTGATTGGTCAGAGGCTTCACACCTGACAGACAGGTAAAGGAAGGCTGGAAAACCAGCAGTGCTCGGACCTCGAGGACCGCGAGTTGAATAACCGTGTTATAAATGATAAGCAAAAATAAATCAAGAGAAGCTGGACATAATGTTTTACAGACATAAAGCTAGATGGCAGGGTCAGCTCACCTCTGTGGCGATGCTTTGACTGGAGCCGTTCTCCAAGAGGTACTGCACCACCTCCAGGTGGTTCTCCTGAGCAGCCATGTACAGCGGCGTGAAGCCATTCTGTCCCAGGTAAGTGACAGAAATCACAGTGTTACAGCCAACAGTGGCAAGTGATGCCATTCATCTCAGCAACAAGAGGCAGCTTTTAATACTCACTGTACTACAGCATTAAATTAACAGGCATAATACTGAGAAATGAACTGGACAAGCAGTGGTTTCTTTGTATCATAAAATGTCATGTTTGGATATGTGAATGACATCACTGTGAGACCTATTCCTGAGAATGTGGCCCCAGTTATTTGTTAAATAAATGTTCCATACAGATGTATGACATAAAGCAGGGTAAGAGGCAAGAGCAGCTCCATCTTCAGTCTATCAGGGAAGTAGCACTGTAATGTACTACAAAGAATCAGCTACCAGAATCACTGTCCCAATGTTAGAGATAATATTGTGCAAGCATATTATTTTTATGAATTTGGTCTCTAATACTTGATGTGTATATATATATATATATAAAACATCTGCCTTGTGAATGTGAAGTGAATTTGATTATTTTCACATAGGAATTCTGGAAACTAGTCTCTTTATAGTATAAGTATCGGCAATTTCATCTTTTTATCTTTTTAGATAGAGAACAATGTTTTTTTGTTTTATATGATTATTTTCAGGTATTATGGCACCGGTGGGTTCCCTACTCGTGGATTGCCTGGCTCTGATGGGTGATAATGGCTTTACAGCACAAAAGCTGGTGACGTATAACTGTCCCCTCTTTTTGTCCAGGCTGCCTCAGAGTAACCTTTATGTAAACAGGCCAATAAGCACGCCTTTCATCGTTCCCACATTTTTATCTAAAATCTTATAAAATTCGGCCGCAGGATATCACATTGCGATAACATGAAATATTTGCGCTATCTATAAAATGAAGAGATTACATTTACCAGAAATAAACTGTAGCCAAACAGAACTTATTATCAGCCAATAGAGTGTGACAAATAAGTTGGTGATGATACAGTGAATTCTGTCATTTAGGGCTGCCACTAATGGCAATTTTTCCAAAGATTAATCTATCGATGTTTACATGAGTTTATTATAAATGGTTTACATGAGTTTCATTACTGACAATACATAAAACCATATAGACTCAAGCCAAGTGTACATACTCACAGACCTCCTACAATAGAATTTTACAGAATAACATCTTTATCATAGAATCGTGCAGTTGGTTACTGCATAATATTCTGAAGCTTTGTGTCTCCATAAATCATGCAAGCAGGTTTTTAAATGCTAATGTTTGTTGTGAAACCGAAAGCTGCATGTGTCACTTACCTGAGACTGAGCGTTGACGTTTGTTCCGCTCTTCACCAGTTCTTTGACCACTTCAGTCTGGCCTGCAAGGGAGGCTATATGTAGAGCAGTGTTTCCTTTCTGCATTTGGGGAAACGTGAAAGTACGTTTTATTCCATGCATGCTGCAAACAATGTGGTGATTTGCAATTCAAACTCATCTCCAATTTCAGAAAAAAATCATACACCAGCAGAACATTTCTCACCCATGTACTGTACATTTTCATTTGCATTGTATGTACTATAACAGAAATAGGCCTATATGCATTTGCAAATGTTGTCATGGGTACTCTGCACATGCATTATCAAACTATTGTGGGGAAATGAGAGGTTTACAGACACTTAGTCCAAAAGTACAAAACATATTTTAATTCAATTAATTTTTTTAATAACTACACTCACATTCCCTTTCTAATTCATAGCGAATTATTTCTGATTTCTGATGCAGGAAATGTAATGCATTTAATAAAAATTACATTTTACTGTTGCATACACTCATTATGGTTATGAGAACATGCACTGTAATCGTCCTATTTATTGTAATCAATGGATTTTTGCAAGGATATTTCTATGTATATGTGCAGACAAGCTTTCCTAATTGTCATTCATGTTCTAAAAAAGGAATACTAACTCATGCATGGAAAAGAATCATTCACATCTATTATTCATTAATTTCTTCCCAGTGTATCAAACAGGTAAGTTGTGAGCTGTATGATATTGCATTTTGGACGTCAATGTCACGGAAGCATGTGAGATGTCTCTCCTACTTCAAAGCTCCAAGGTTTAGCATTTAAATGCCATGTCTGCTCTGGGTGGAAGTTGCATCTTCTCCCTGTGCTGCATTTCTCCTGCAGTCTACTAAGAAGCATCTCGGTGAATTGGTGTTTTGAAATGGCTGTTTTGTGTGCAACCTCTATCCTCATGCAGTAATCTCCATGAGACACTTCTACAGGGATGTATTTGCTCTTAAATGTTTATGGAATTAAATTTCTTCCCTAAGGTGTAAAAATACTTTTGGGATTTTCCGAAAGCAGCCCCAGTGCAAAACAAGGCTGCTACAGTTCTGCACTGGCCAATGTCATTGCATTCGGCAAGGTCCCGGGCATTCAGCCGTAGAGATCCTGATCAGGAAGAGCAGAGTGACATGACAGACTAACCTTTGTTGCTGCATCCACATCGGCCCCAAGCTTCAGGAGCTCCGCAACAATCTCTACATGGCCCTCTTTGGAAGCCAGATGAAGCGCATTCAACCCATTCTGAAACACAGGAAGACATCCACATATCCACAAAATATCCACATATTTTCAGATATTTTTTACAAGACAATGCCTTAGCCATTAGGTATTTCTGGATGACGGTAGAAAATAATCATGCATACAAAAACTATAAATATGAATAAATCATTTTGATAAGTTAATATGTCACTATTTCAATGATCGAACTTGCTGCTAGAATTTCAACATGCGATTTAGTGTACAAACATCGAGATGCTCTTACTTGGTTGCAGATGTTGATGTCTACTCCTGTCTTCAGGTAGTCAAGAGCCTTCTCCAAGTTCCCTGCCCGAGCAGCTCTCAGATAACTGGCATTGCTATCAGACTGAAGAAAAGAGAAAAGTTGCCTAAGTCAGGCTTGCAGGACCATGACGTGTGTATCAGCATTTCACACTCACTACCACTTCCTGTTACAAGACAGAAATGCATGAAAAACACCTGTGACTAAACCAGAAAAAACATTCCATCATCAACATTTACAGCGAATGGGCTATTTGGAGTAAAATACAATATTGGACATTTTTGCTAGTTATGGATTCACCTAAAGCTGGATGAAGTAGCTTCCAAAATAATCAGGCAATGGAGGAAGCAGTGCAGGTACTACAAGAAATCTGGCGGGCAGGTCCAAGATTTTAATGGTATTTTCTATGAATTGGGCTATGTTTAATCTTAATTAAGCCAAAGTCACATGTATGATATCATGAGCACTTCTAAAAAAGTGTGATCCAAACAAAATGCAAATATAGGGTTTCCTTCCTTGTTTCAGTGTAGACATTTTCATTATTGCAAACAGAGGTGGTTGTGCAGCTAGACATGACATCAACTCCACTGTGAAGTTTGCCAGCGACACTGGCGGTGGCCTGATCTCCAAAAATGATGAGAGGGCCTACCTAAGTGAGATGGAAACCCTAACGATATGGTGTCACCTCCACCTGAACGTTGACAAGACAAAGGAGATGGTGATAGATTTTAGGAGACAAAAGAAGAACTGCGCCCTGCTTCAGATCTGTGGATCTCCAGTGCAGAGGACGAGGTGTTTTAAATACCTTGGTGCCCACATCACTGGGGACCTCACCTGGAATTATCACACAGACCTCCTCACTGGCAGAGCCAGACGGCGCCTCTACCACCTGAAGGTCTCTCCCTTAATTTTAAAAGGTTTCTACTCTAGAGTTACACAAAGCATCCTGATGGGAAGCAAGACAGCCTGGTACAGATTCTGCTCCGTATCGGAATGAAAGGCCCTGCAACAGGTGGCACATTCACTGAACGCACTGGATCACCAGTGACCCCACCCACCCCGCACATAAACCGCTCAGGCTGCAGAGATCAGGGAGACGCCTCCGTAGCCTCACAGTCTGGGCTTCTCAACAACAGCACATAACGGACAATCTGCTGCTGCACGCATTTACACTCTGTCTCTCTCCCTGTATGTCTCTCTCCCTGTATGTCTCTCTCCCTGTATGTTTCCCTCCCTTTTCACTTCACTTGCATTTTTGCACACTGCCTTGCACATCTGCACTAATGACACAGTGTTGTGTAGTGTATATTTTATTACACTTTTGTATACTTCATTGTATTACACATAGTATAATATAAAATATATTCCTTATCTATACAGCACAGTTGGTGAATCTGCCAGAACAAGCATTTTATTTTATGTTGTATGAGTATGACTGCGTGTGACAAGCAAAGAACTTTGAACTTCGAGGTCTCAAATTAAGACAAAAACAAAGGACCTTCATTTTAAGATATTACTCTTCAACAAAATAAAACAAAATAATGTCAATCACAATATTTTAAACTTGTTAACTGGTTGTCAGTGTTTTAAAAGGAAATGAACCAAATTACAATGATTCCCCTCCATCAGCTTCCCCGTGGATTGATTTTAGCTGTGGATTTTGGAAGCCTGAAGCTCTTGAGTTGTTTACAAGCAGGAAAGGAGTCTTTCTCTGTACCCCCGATACCGTTTAACCCATTATATGTGATATATTGACTATGTTCCTTGTATCTCATTTATCTTTATCAATAAAACAATTATTCTGAAATAAAAAAATACAGCCAGGAAGGAATACTTTTGGTTTCTATAACAATCTTTAATAGAGCCCTAATGCTTAAACCATTTATTCAGCCTTGACTTGGGTTTTCAAAATCGTACCCACTAACAAAAACTTCCACTTCCTGTTTGGCTTTTTTTATCCAATCAAATTTCTCCAAATTCAATCATCAGGTAAACATCCAAAAATACTAAACAGCAGATTCTGTGTAATAAACATGCTCAAATAAACAAATAAGCTAGTAAACTGTACAATTTCTACTGAAATGATTGCACATATTGTTCAATTTTTGAGCAATGTATGATTCTGTGATCCCACAGATTTTAAATCAAAAACTAAAACCTAACCTAAAATCCATATGGTGACCTATTTAATTTTAAATATTCCTTTTTATTGAAAAAGGCAGTTTTTTGTACATTGAGCATTTTGTCAGTCATGGTGTAACAATGGGTTTAGTTTTTCCATTTGCGACTGTTTGTTCAAGGTTTGATGTATTTGTATATTGTTTCTAGATCGTTCTTTTCTCAGAAATTTCCCTGTTTTGCAGGTAATCATTGTGATTCACCAAAGAAACGTAAGTTTAAACATGTCTAGACCATAATTTGAGTCTAGGTTGGAACTCAAGTAACAACAAATTTTCAAACATATATTTGCAAACTATTTGAGACACTAATGGAATCGTGTACACAGAGGGATTGAACAGGCAATACCATCTCTGAGGACGAAGAACTACGGAAAATGTAGGTCAATGGCTTTTCTGCTAATGCTGATCAGAGGCCTTTAAATGCATCGTACAATTGCCTACGTAGTGTACATATATACTGTATATACAGCATACATGTATGTGTTTAAGCATAGATAGATAAATATGATTTCTTGTAATCAACTTATATTTTGTAATATTTAAAACAGAGCTGCAGAAAATATGGACTAAATGGAGAATTCATTCATTTTACAGAGGTCATGGTGCAGGCAGCTGATGAGCAGGTAATCTTTTTCCCCAAGAAATTTTATCCAGTAGCAATGCTTAAATTTTTTTACTGGGAAATATAAACATAATGAAAAAGCGATCCTGATGTAACCTCACAAGGATACCATTAAAATGTAGATTAAAAGATACAAAGGTAAGCGTTAAGCTGACCTACCTTAGTCTTGACATTCAACAGACACGCGGTAAACAAAAAAAGTTTTAAAATTCTTTTAATTCAGTTGCTTTTATTTAAATGTATATGCGAAAACTCAAACTGGAACACTGCGTAAATATATAGCATCACACACAAGTTCACAGATTCTGGAAATGATGTAAAGACAGAGTCTGACCTGCACTTTATTGCCAGAAGGCAAACATTTATGTGTATTTATGAGGTGTTGAAAGAAGGCCCAGACAGTTGACAAATAAATATTATACATATATAACAAAATATGTTTTTATAGGTGCAACATTACAGTAAAAAACCAGGTATATTGCATATTTCTACATATTTTGCATATGAAAAAAAACAATATAATGTTCTTATTATCTATCCATCAATCAATCCATCCATTCTTTTCACTAATTCTGGTCAGTGTTATATCATTCATTTTTTTAAATTATATATATAAATCGGGTCATGGACAGCTGTTTTCCACTGTGTATACTGCGATGAGCACAGTGTAAAGAAGGAAATCAGACAATTTCAGGTTAAAAACTAGCCATACTGGAGGGTTGGACATACTGGTGATTGAATTGACATTGCATTACGGATATATCTTTTATTAAAAAAAAAATTCTATTGGCAAAAACTGAAGGGCAATACATATACAGTAATTCAAAGAGTGAATCCATGATGTCTAATATTTATAATATTTTGAGGCTGAGCAGCATTGTTCAAATAAGTGATTGACTGTGCTGATCACTGAATGATGGAAGGTCTAATTGGGAGTCTAATCAATCTCTCCCAGCATAGAGCCTTGTGAATAATTTAAGCATCTGTGTCAGCTATGTCCCTAAGGAAAGGGCAGGGGGCATGTTCAACAACTCATGAGTAACTGCAGTCTCTGCTGGTGCTCCAACACATAACTCCATCTCATTTTAAGTAAACCTGCTCCGGAGCAGGTTAATTTCACACAGTTGCCATAGCAACTTCCCGAGTCTCACTCTATTCTCAATTATCGAACGGGAAAATCTAAAACTTTCAAGATCTGCAAGCTGACATAGCTGGGTTAGTTGCCAAACTCGCTTTCTGGAATATCTAACCAAAATCACAAACCTAGAAAATTGATATCAGCTTGTCAATGACTGCCATTACAATAATCTGCAAAACTAGCAAGAAGAGGTTCACATGCGGCATTTGGGTATGAGAACAGTGGGATGCTTCCTCTCATTTTATTGTATTCAGTCCGGTAGCTTGTACCACTTCTGTACTAAATGCCTTTTATTTGCTTCTCTAATTTGCACTAATTGGAACCATAAGAATTCTCCTCTCTTGCACTGGCATTTTTCCAGAGTGCAGAATGAGATGAATCATAGTTGATTTGCTTCCACTATGACTGTGAAAGGCAAAGATTTGGGCTAACTGAAGTTATAATGTACCTTTGCTGCCTGCAGCCTTATTGACTTCCTGTGTTGCCTTTAGTGATTACCCGTTACAGCGTTTCCATTAATTTGTTTGTTTGTTTCTTGGTTTTATGTTTGCAATCTATGCCTATCAAAGTTCCAATTTACATCAGATTAATAAAGTTTCTATCTAACCACCCGCCTACTTTTCATGGCACTTCTGTCTTGCTTACCTAAGCTTAGAATGAATGATCTTCCTGCTACAGAGATATACAATGCACGATAGCCTCCGGATCATCCCCAGAAAAGGGCCTCTGACCCTCTGTGGGGCCCTCCATTTCTGGGGCCCTCCATTTCTGGGGCCCTCCACTTCTGGGGCCCTCCACTTCTGTGAGCCACAGTGCGGCAGCACCCGCTGCTCTGCCTATACTTCCGCCAGTGACAGGATGCTTTATACCTTGCTTTCCGTAGTGTTGCCTATGGATGAATTATTGTTAGCCTGATAATTGCTTCTTTGCATTGCATTGCCTGCACAGATAGCGGTAGCAATCCAAAATCAATCAACAGAACTGGATGTTGGGTGCAAAGCTGACGTGAAGATGAGTGATATCTGTGAGCATTTCTACTTGTGCTACAGATTCCCATGAGAGATGTCAGATTTATGGAACCATTTCATCAAAGGAAAATGGGTCAAAATCACCAAAAAAAAATACATATCTTTTTTTTACGTTT